TTCAACATTAGTGAATATGACTTTATAAAGTAGTGAGCCAATGTAAGGTCATGTGAGAGACACGTTGTTGTTGGTACTAATGTATACAAGAATAGTGAATATGACTTTATAAAGTATGGAGCCAATGTAAGATGTTGAGCTTCTAAATTTCCTTTACAGGCTGGCAAACTCCAAATATTTGACGTTTCGTCTGGTTCATTGCTTGAAACTGTGGGCGCACACGATGGTGCTATTTTGGTCGTTGTGTTTAGCTCCCGATAATGTAAGGAACTTTACTTCATTTTAAAAACATATTTTTGGTCCAGTCGTTGGAAAGTAACATTTTTGACAAAATTTGTGGACTGCCATGCCCTTTTTAATATGCTTTCTTTCGATTATTTCTCTAACAGAAATAGCAGCGTTTTTTTGTTGGCAAACTTTAGTTATTCTGCTGCTTGTCATTTTGTAACTCCTTGAAGAGACAAGTGACGTATGCTTCACTTCTCTCCACCCCCCCGTCCTTATATATTCCATTCTTTCAGTGAATCGTTTCAGTTAAATCGTTCAGAGGGAGCTCAAGACTACCTTCATGTAGAAATGACGATTTTATCAATTTCTAGACGCTATTCGCCTCAGGAAGTGGTGACAAGGATGTAAAATTGTGGGAATTTGATTTGATTACGGATGAGATGTATTCAACGACAAGGTATTAAATAATTTGCATGTAAAGCAACGTTTCCACTCAACGTGATTTTTATCACTCTTTTACCATTGTAAGACGAAAAATGTCCATTGTCTGTCGGAGAAAAATAACTTCATGTACTAATTCTGTTAAAGCTTGTCTTGTAAAGTTTTTTCTCTTGTTTTTCTTGTGCATTTCATGATGTTTGTAAAGAAAAGTGGTTAAATGTGACCATCCACTTTTTTTTGTTCAATCCTCAGCTTAACATTTTCCTTTCAGCTTAACATTTTATGATTCAATATTGTCTAATTGGTTTATGTATTTCTTTGTACAATTGGGTGATTCATTTTGTATTATTTTGTTTAGTCAAAGATTAAGTATTTGTCATGCACGAACATTAAAGATGAATGATGACGTAATGTGTGTAAAGTTCAGGTAAGTTGTTGATGTTTTCGCCTGGAGGGGGGGGGGAGGGCATACGTATTTATGATCTTTCATTTAATCACGTGCCAACCTTCGTTGCAGTCCAAATCAAAAGTTTATTGCCGTGGCTTTCCTTGGTTTTACAATGAAAATTTTCTTCACTGATACATTGAAGGTAAGTTGTTAAATATTTTTGTACGTAGTTGATGATATTGGATAGCATTTGTTGGTATTGGATAGCAGTTGATGATATTGGATAGCATTTGATGATATTGGATAGCAGTTGTTAGAATATTTTCATTTGTTGCTGTAGATCACTTTAAAGATGACTCCTTGTACGAAATTCTCCCATTTTTTTCTATGAATCACGATAAAAATGCTCTTTGAGTTGGAACTATTTCCTTTTCCTACAAAAAATTCACTAAAAAAATTCACTCTTGTAAAAAGAAGGCGATATTTTTGACTTTAAGCTAGTTACGTAACATTGGATTAATGTATGCTTTCCATCAACGTTATAATTTGACTTACAGAAGTCTCAAAAATTTAACTGAATAAATATTTTCCTGTCCATTTATCCTAATTAACTTTTGTATTCATTTTTTAAATGTGGTTACTTTTCCCGCGTCGTTATTTAGTTCTTCCTATCCCTCTATGGTCATAAATTACCTGTTGTTACCATGGATATATCAACGGTACGTTTTATTCATATGACGTGTGTTTCTAAGTATCCACGTTTCACTGTCGTATACAAACATGTATTATGTTTACAAGAAGAATCCTTATCTTACGTCATGGACGCATACATTTTCTATACGTCACATCCGTTTTAGCTGTCGCATAAATTGTACTGTTTTTTTTCAAGCTCACAGGAACGGCTTCCAACTCTGTTTTGATGTCATGTTTTATAATACGTTTTTTATTTTTGGTTGAAAGAACTTTAACACATAAAATAGAAGAAAAATACGTATGAACAAAAGATACATTATCAAGCTGTAAATAGGTCATTTCGCTATAGCTTTTCGAATTAGATATTTTCGAAATAAAATTACAATGTGAATCAATTTTATATTATACATTAATAATTTATGCGACAGTTCAAAAGAATGTAAATTTTGCTGGATAAGCTTTTCTTCATTTTTGTTATAAACCCAAACGAGGAAGTTTGGGCTTGTGACGTAAACTAAGGAATTATAAAATGAGCGATGATTATGAGAATGTAATGAAAACTGATTTGAAACTTTGAAAAAGACGTACATAATGTCAACTACGTATGACCGTGTAAATTTTTACCAATCCTCTGTTGTGAAAGTGTAGAGCGTGTTGTGTTCCATCACTTGACCACTTTGCATTGGTGAACGCTTTTCAATGGCGTCTTTATTTATTTTTGAAACTTTTCTCTGTCTTTGGATTCGTATTTTTGTCATCCTTGATTCATTTTTTACAGGATAACGTTCTCCTTGTTTCTGGTGGCGTTGACAAGAACATTAAAATTTGGGGTTTGGATTTTGGTGATTGTCGAAAATCAATATTCGCCCATGATGACAGGTACGCACAATGTAATTTTAAATGACAGATACGCAATTTTATGATAGTAATATATGATAGCCTGAAACAGTCGATTATATTCCTACTATACACTCGTATCCTATGTACATCGTCATTATACCCTATTAAACCCTCTTACCCTGGTTAGATCATTGTTTCGTCGTCACCATCCTCGTATACATAACATACTAGTACCACGTCCTCAATTGTTTTACACGTAGATTTTCCATTTTTTACCCGCATGTTATCAACATTACACCCCACAATACCTACATGTACTTTCATTGTATACTTTATATTCTCATGTTATCAACATTACTCATAGTAATACCTACATGTACTTTCATTGTATACTTTATATTCTCATGTTATCAACATTACACCCCACAATACCTACATGTACTTTCATTGTATACCTTATATTCTCATGTTATCAACATTACACCTAGTAATATCTACATGTACTTTCATTGTATACTTTATATTCTCATGTTATCAACATTACTCATAGTAATACCTACATGTACTTTCATTGCGTACCATATATTCTCATGTTATCAACATTACACCCCACAATACCTACATGTACTTTCATTGTATACCTTATATTCTCATGTTATCAACATTACACATAGTAATACCTACATGTATATTCGTTATTTATATTATAACAACTTTAATCTTCTTTTAGTGTCATGGCCGTGCAGTTCGTGCCGAAAACTCATTATTTCTTCAGTGCAAGTAAAGATAAAACGATAAAATATTGGGACGCTGACAGATTTCTTCATGTTACGACCTTAGAAGGTCATCATTCAGAAATATGGAGTCTTGCAATCAGCCATGACGGCGAGTTTGTTGTAAGTGTCAAGTATGGAAGGTTTTAGATAATTTTAAACATAAGTTTGCTTGATATGAATGAAAGAATTAATGAAAAACGTTATTATCAATAAGAGTACCATTTACTCAAAGATCAACACTTATTCTTAACACTCCAGTTCCACATGCATTTTATTTTATCTTATAGATCAGTGGGTCACATGATAAATCATTAAGACTTTGGGAACGAACGGACGAACCGTTGTTTGTCGAAGAGGAGAGAGAAATGGTACTATACATAGATCTGTTTTGCTGGAGCTAAAAAAATATGCATATAGTACCTGTACTTTCAATGTTTATTTTAATTTTTCTATTGAGGAGAGGGAAGCAGCTTACGAAGAAAGCGCCGTAACAGGAGTTGAAACAATTGTAAGATTCTTTTTACTATGTAACATGAGATATGTATGTTCCATCTTGAGCCATACTACTATGTATTTGTTATATACTTTCACTATGGAAAAAATCTTGTGGAAGTTGCATTTATTGCACTAAATAAATTCATTTATTTAAACCATGATGTTGTTTAGATTTCAGGTGAACAAGACACAGAAGCTGTTAAAGCTGGCAAGAAAACTATCGAGACGATCAAAGGAGTTAGTTTTGTTGTTGTATTAGCATTGCAAGTAAATTTTATTGGTTTTGTGCCCAGTCCCCCCTATAGTACCTGAAAGATACTTCAATATCATACAATTGGTTTATGTATTTCTTTGTACAATTGGGTGATTCATTTTGTATTATTTTGTTTAGTCAAAGATTAAGTATTCGTCATGCACGAACATTAAAGATGAATGATGACGTAATGTGTGTAAAGTTCAGGTAAGTTGTTGATGTTTTCGCCTGGAGGGGGGGGGAGGGTATACGTATTTATGATCTTTCATTTAATCACGTGCCAACCTTCGTTGCAGTCCAAATCAAAAGTTTATTGCCGTGGCTTTGCTTGATTTTACAATGAAAATTTTCTTCACTGATACATTGAAGGTAAGTTGTTAAATATTTTTGTACGTAGTTGATGATATTGGATAGCATTTGTTGGTATTGGATAGCAGTTGATGATATTGGATGGCATTTGATGATATTGGATAGCAGTTGTTGGATAGCAGTTGTTAGAATATTTTCATTTGTTGCTGTAGATCACTTTAAAGATGACTCCTTGTACGAAATTCTCCCATTTTTTTTCTATGAATCACGATAAAAATGCTCTTTGAGTTAGAACTTTGAGTTTTTCCTACAAAAAATTCACTAAAAAAATTCACTCTTGTAAAAAGAAGGCGATATTTTTGACTTTAAGCTAGTTACGTAACATTGGATTAATGTATGCTTTCCATCAACGTTATAATTTGACTTACAGAAGTCTCAAAAATTTAACTGAATAAATATTTTCCTGTCCATTTATCCTAATTAACTTTTGTATTCATTTTTTAAATGTGGTTACTTTTCCCGCGTCGTTATTTAGTTCTTCCTATCCCTCTATGGTCATAAATTACCTGTTGTTACCATGGATATATCAATGGTACGTTTTATTCATATGACGTGTGTTTCTAAGTATCCACGTTTCACTGTCGTATACAAACATGTATTGTGTTTACAAGAAGAATCCTTAGCTTACGTCATGGACGCATACATTTTGTATACGTCACATCCGTTTTAGCTGTCGCATAAATTATACTGTTTTTTTCAAGCTCACAGGAACGGCTTCCAACTCTGTTTTGATATCATGTTTTATAATACGTTTTCTATTTTTGGTTGAAAGAACTTTAACACATAAAATAGAAGAAAAATACGTATAAACAAAAGATACATTATCAAGCTGTAAATAGGTCATTTCGCTATAGCTTTCGAATTAGATATTTTCGAAATAAAATTACAATGTGAATCAATTTTATATTATACATTAATAATTTATGCGACAGTTCAAAAGAATGTAAATTTTGCTGGATAAGCTTTTCTTCATTTTTGTTATAAACCCAAACGAGGAAGTTTGGGCTTGTGACGTAAACTAAGGAATTATAAAATGAGCGATGATTATGAGAATGTAATGAAAACTGATTTGAAACTTTGAAAAAGACGTACATAATGTCAACTACGTATGACCGTGTAAATTTTTATCAATCCTCTGTTGTGGAAGGGAAGAGCGTGTAGCGGGTCCATCTCTTGACCACTTTGTATTAGTGAACGCTTTTCAATGGCGTTGTTTTTTATTTTTGAAACTTTTCTCTGTCTTTGGATTCGTATTTTTGTCATCCTTGATTCATTTTTTACAGGATAACGTTCTCCTCGTTTCTGGTGGCGTTGACAAGAACATTAAAATTTGGGGTTTGGATTTTGGTGATTGTCGAAAATCAATATTCGCCCATGATGACAGGTACGCACAATGTAATTTTAAATGCAGATACGCAATTTTATGATAGTAATATATGATAGCCTGAAACAGTCGATTATATCCCTACTATACACTCGTATCCTATGTACATCGTCATTATACCCTATTAAACCCTCTGACCCTGGTTAGATCATTGTTTCGTCGTCACCATACCTCTTATGTCTATAACATACTAGTAAACCACGTCCTCAATTGTTTTACACGTAGATTTCCTGCATATTTTTTTACCCGCATGTTATCAACATTACACCCCACAATACCTACATGTACTTTCATTGTATACTTTATATTCTCATGTTATCAACATTACTCATAGTAATACCTACATGTACTTTCATTGTGTACCATATTAATAGAACAGTTAACAGAACAGAACAGAACAGAACAGTTAGATCAGAACAGTTATAGTTTCAGTTTTCTGTTATAGTTATTCAAACTCGTTGGCGAGCCTTGCTCAACGCTCGCAAATCAAGAGCGGAATATCAACACATGAGAGCATGCGCAATCACCATTCAGTCTTTCACCAGAGGACTGCTGGCTCGCAGGATAGCACACAGAGAACGAGCTGCAGTTAAAATTCAGTCATTCTGGAGAGGTATCGTCCAGAAGATTAGCTACCATAAGTCTAGAAACGCTGTTATGAAAATACAAACTTGTCTACGTATGAGAATCGCAAAGAAGAAATATGAACACTTGAAAAACACGGTTGTACACCTTCAGAGACTGGTGCGAGCCAATCAACTGTGTCGACTTCATACTATGGAGTACCAGACTAAACGACAAGCTATTATCGCTTTCCAAGCTTCTCTACGTGGTTATTGGGTGAGGAAAAAGTTGAAAATTATGAATGATGCTGCTATCAAAATTGAGAGTGCTTACAGAGGTTATTCAACTCGAAAGCGTCACCTAAGGGTGACTCAATGTGTTCTCTTACTTCAAAGAAGGCGACGAGCCACATCTTTGGGCAGAAAAGCGATGATGGACTACCAAAGAAAACGACGGTCAGTGAAATTTCTCCAATCACAGGTCCGTGGTTTTATTGCAAGAAGAAACTACAGTGATATCCTAAGAAAATTATTTCACTTCAATCCGCTGAACGTGGCATGCAGGCGCGTAAGAAGTATCTAAAAACATGTGAAGCTGCCTTTGTCATTCAGGAACGTTATCGTGCCCACAAGAAAGGTTTGATGATTAAAAAAAGATATCATCTACAACGAGGTGCTTGTATTACCATTCAGGCTAATGTAAGAAGATGGTTATGCAGAAAACGATATCAGAGCATGCGCGAAGCGATTGGAACAATCCAGTTATATTATAGAGCAAGTTGTTGGGCCAAAGTGGAACGGAGGATGTTCCTTAAAACAAGGAGTGCGATCGTGACCATGCAGGCGTTCACACGTGGCTGGTTAGCACGTCGCAAAATTCAACGACAACGCACTGCTACACGTATTCAAAGTTACTGGAAGATGCATGTTGCAAGACAAAGGTATTTATATCAACGTGCATGTGTTGTACGGATTCAATGTTATTTCCGCTTGTGGGTGAACTGTAAAAGATAGATCACCTTGAGAAAAACGGCAATTTTCATCGAGACTTGTTACAGAGCAAAAATACTTGGCAAGAAGGAACGAGATCACTATAAAAAAGTGAAAAGATCTTGTATTATAATTCAACATGGTTACCGTAGGTACAGACAACGTCGTTTGGTCAACAAAATTTTGGAAGCTGTTTCTTCTCAAAAAAATGCTGCTTTGGTCCTACAGCAACGACTTCGTGCTAATATGGCGGCAAAGAGCATTCGTCAGCATTATCTTCTTTTGAAAAGATCTTCTGTACTTATACAAGCTTCCTATCGTGGTCACTTAGCTCGAGCTCATGTCGCCAGGATTCGTTCTGCCATCGTGATACAGTCGTACTATCGCGGACACCGGCAGGCAACCGAGTATAGGGGGATAAAAAATGCCATAATCTTTGTCCAAGCTCTAGTTCGAAGGAATCAAGCATTTGAGAGATATAGAAATCTAAAAACTACTGCGTTGGTTGTTCAACGTTATCGTAGAGCAGTTGTGATTGGTTGCGGACAAAGAAAGATGTTCTTAAAGATGAAAGTAAGTGCTATAAAAATGCAAAGTTGCTATCGAGGTTATAGAGCACGGAAGGCGTATGAACTTATAAGACAAGCTACTATAAAGATTCAGAGCTTTATCCGTGGAATAATAGCCTTAAATAGATATGAGAAACTACGCAAAGCCATTGTAATAGTTCAAACCAGAGAAAGAGCGAGAATACGTGGAAAAGAAGAAAGAACATCATATTTAAAGCTGAAAAAATACACCATTTCTATGCAGAGTTTATTTCGTGCAAAACGCGATGAAATGAGTTACATGCTTACTCGAAACACCATTATAAAGCTTCAAGCTATGTTGCGTGGGAAACATGCACGAAAAGTGTTTCAAAGATCACGTTCAGCTGTTATCGTGTTACAACGTGCACAACGAACACGGATGTTGGGAAAACGAGAACGGATTCAATTCATGGAAAAACGAAATAGTACTGTGCGTATTCAAAGTCTTATAAGAATGCACTCAGAGAGTTCTTGGAAAGCAACAGAGAGTGGAATTTTTAAAACTGAAATGTAAAGCTGTTTTAATTCAGAGTTTGGTACGATGTCACACACAAAGAATACGTTATCTTAAAATAAAACACGCTACCAACATCATTCAAGCGTATGTTCATGGCAAGAAAACACGACGTTTTTATAAAGAACTACATAAAGCTACACTGGTTATTCAAAACCGCGTGCGAGCAAAACGTTTTGGTAGAAAAGACCGTCAAACATTCCAGCTGAAGCGACATTCAGTTATTGCTATACAGAGTTGGTTTAAGGCTTGCAAAAGAAGGCGGGAATTTTTACAACTGAGAAATGCCTCCGTATTGTTGCAAGCCTTCTGGAGGGGATCGCATCAACGAAAGAAATACAAAGAAATGAAGAAGGCAGCAGCTTGTATTCAACAGCATTATCGTGCTCTTAAAACGGGAGAAGAGAAGAGACATCGTTTTCTTGTCGTCAAACGGTTTGCCACAAAAACGCACATCAATCTCATGGCAATACGTTTACAACGAGCATATCGTAAAGCCATGGCGATTGCTCTGTTGAAAGCTAAGATCGATAGCGTGGTGATAGTACAGGTATTTACGCAACAGTCTTCTTAAATTCATGAATTTAATGTTTATTGCCCTCAAAATAATTTTTACTTGTTTTGTTACTGTAATTGTAGCGATGGTGGCGAGCTAAACTCCAGAGGAAATTCTATCTAAGAACTCTGCATTTCATTCGTCTTCTCCAAAAGAAATGGCGTACACGACTTACCATAATGCACCAGTCAGCGACAAGAATTCAGGCAGTTGTGAGATGTTTTTTAGCTCGAAGGTTTGCTCGAAAAAAAATGAAAGCAATCATCAATATACAGGTATGTTGGTGATTGTTGACGATTTTATAAAACCCGTCTGTTTGGTAACTATGAACTACAGTAAGCGGCTTAAGTGGGTATCCAGCTTTCTGCTCTCCCAAAAACCTTTACAGTGTGGCTGTACCTTATAGAAAGGACACCCAAAAATTTAGCTTCTTGCTTTAACCGGTATGATCTATTGCATGCTGGGTTTTTATTGGTGTACAAAATTTTGAAATTAAGCAATGGTCACCAGGAAGAAAGAAATTTTAAATAGTGTGAACTTTGACAAAATATGCAAGTCACTTGTATGTAATGAAATACAACTAAAGAAAATTGAAAGTAACTAATACTGATGAAATATTTTTTTACTATTTTATGTTTCTTGTGTTGCGTATCACATTACGAACATGAGACATTCGCAACCTTTGAAAGCTTCCAAAGCCCCTCAGCAAAATGTTTTTCAAGTTCTTTAGATTTCTGCATGTTCCAATCGTTTCTTTCCTAAATTGTTTTTTCAAGATCTCTAGTTTACATTTCTACATGTTCCAATAATTTTTTCCTTTCTCACCATAAAGAGAACGTGGCGAGATTACAACGTTCGAAAGCGCTTCAACTCGAAGAAGTTTAGAAAACTAAGAGAGCGAATTATTGTGGCTAATTCCGACGTCACCGAGTCCATGAAGCTTTGCAATCGTACTCGTTCTGCACTCGACTATTTACTAAATTGTAAGAATTTAACAACGGTTCGTGAAGCTCTGGTTCATCTTGGTATGTCGCACTATTTAATTTTTGCAATCTTCACTCCATTATCTTGTTTAAATTACAACGCCCATACAATCACATAATTGCCTTTAGTTCTATCCGAATTCTTATATACTGTCCATTTGCTTTTCCTCCCCATTCCAAACCGTATTTTTCAGCATCAAAAGATTTGTACCCGAATTTCCTTTTGGATATTGATTTGATCATTCCTCATTCTATGAAATTTATCCAACTATACGTATAATGATCATATCGTATACCCAATGTACCCAATTGTTCACCCAATTCACCCAATTCAAGATGTGTACCCAATTGTTCACCTGTATATTGGTCATCCTTTTTTCTAAGATATATACCCAAGTGTCCTACTGTGTATTGGTTATCCCTTATACTCCATTCTCTCAACAGAGGTCGCAACAAGATGGACATTCAAGTGTTCACAACAACAGGTTGAGAATAACGCTCTCCGTGTTATTTTTCAAATTATCCGAGACTCAAATAGGAGTCTAGCTCACATGGGATTGATCAAACTGGCGTTAGATATTTTCACCAATGTGTCCAAGGTGAGTTTGGGCTGAGATCCATTGATATTTATTGAACATTACTGTCACTGAACGTTGGCAGTGTAATCAGTTTGTTGTTTTTGCCAATTGTTGCATAGTTAATTGTTAGTTGTTTTGTGACTCAACAAAACTTCATGCTTTCTGCATTGTTTTTCCCCCATAGTTGTTGGTTGTTATTGATAAATGACTGAGAAACTGTAGTATTTTTTGTAAAGATATTGCCACTTTCATGAATAATGGTTGCACCTAATTTTTTATCATTATTCTAATATCTCACTTGAAACAAAAACCAAAACACTTTTGCTAAAGTGATCATGTATCTAATTAGAAACCATTTTGATAAAAACACGAAACAATCCATGTTTTTTACCAAAATACTCTTTGGCATTCTTAATTTGACTATAAACTATATGCGCAACACATTTTTAGTGTCCAGCCACCCAGGATGCCGTGGTTTTAAAAGAAGAAAATGCATTGGAAACCATACTTGAACTCGCGTGTATTTTTCGCGAGAAAAAGGAAATTTTCCTCAGAGTTGCAAAGCTACTTACAATTTTATGTACTCACGAAAACGTAAGAAAGGTAAGCAGAAGTAAACCTCTAGGACAAGAGCTGCCTGCATGTATTTCTTCAAAAGGGTTAGTCATTCTTTGTAATGTCGAATTAATTTAGCAACTTTTGTCTGTTTTGATTCGGCTTTAGAAATTACTGAAAACAGAAAACGCTGCAATGAAGATATCTTCCATTTACTCCATCACAAAAAGGAAGTTTGAAATCGAGATGAAACGGAACACGAAGATGAAACAACAAAATGGCAAGGGCGGACGATACAAGACTGATAACATTTATGGTGATGCCTTAACAGCAGTGATCACTCTTATGGAAACGATTGGTTTAGATTATCCCGTATAGATAGGTTTAGCTTATCCCGTATAAATAAGTTTAGATTATCCTGTATAACAACCATTACATTCTAGTATTTTTTCTATTTAGGTCAAATTTATGCGGCAGTATGTAAAGTATTATTTTTAAATTATTTCTTATTTGCTCAAACTCACCGTTGTTTAACGCAGATTTAACGCGGTACTTTTTTTATTTTTAAAGTGCTACTGAAGTGAAATTTTGGGTATCGATTTTTTTCTATAATCAAATAGTTCTATCTTTCCTGATCACTTTGGTATAATTTTTATGCCTATTGAAGCACGGGATCATCAATAAATTTTTGCTCAAAGTTGGGTTACGCGTGCGAATTTTTACCACTGAAATATTATACGGATGTGACGTAATATAAAGGACGGAACTCGAAGTATGAGCATTGATTTACTAGTATTTTGTTAGATTTTTAACACATATACACAATAAAATATGAGTTCTTCAAGCAGTGAAAGCGAACGCAGTTCGGATACTGAAAACTCAGATATGGCAAATGAAAATTTACTTTCAAATTCCGGCGATGAGGATACAATTGTGGCTAATTCAGTGGTAAATCCTTACGAAAATGAACCTCTTGCGAACGCAGTCGGAGAGAATTTTGTGTCGGTCGAAGAAGACGCAGATGGCTTAGAACCTCGAATATTGGAAGCGAGGTTCGAAGGAACCTTTCACACTATACACACTATATAGGCTATAATATAGGCTATACACACTATATGCACTATATAGGCTATAACACTATAAACACTATATACACTATATAGGCTATATACACTATACACACTATATACACTGTATACACACTATATACACTATATAGGCTATGCACACTATACACACTATATACACTGTATAGGCTATATACACTATATACACTATATAGGCTATATACACTATAAACACTATATAGGCTATACACAATATATACACTATATACACTATATAGGCTATATACACTATACACACTATATACACTGTATAGGCTATACACACTATATACACTATATAGGCTATGCACACTATACACATTATATACACTGTATAGGCTATACACACTATATACACTATATAGGCTATATACACTATATGGACTATATAGGCTATATACACTATATACACTACATAGGCTATGCACACTATATACGCTATATAGGCTGTATACTCTATGTACACAATGCATAGGCTGTAAACAGTAAGTGTTTTCGCCAACGTCACAACGACGTCACAAGTTTCTACTGTCCGCTATTATATAGACGGAGTGTAACACATAAGAAGAAACAATGGAAACATAAAAGTTAGATTATAACGTATAGTAAGAATATTGTGTTTAATATACAGTTTATAACATACATCAAACGACTTTTTCTGCATACGGCATTCCCACATCCTACCTTGACGTTCTATAAAGCAATTGGTGACGTATTACTTGTCATTCATCGTAGATAAACCGGTAAAGGCTGCTTTCGTGGAGTTAAGTACCAATTGCACAATTTATTAACCAAATTTAAAACAGAAATGTCTACAATCTTGATGAAACATGTTTTCAATCACTTTTGTTAACAAACAACTTATAACAGCTGCAAAAGGCGAATGGCATCATTACATCCAGGGTGTCTGAGATATAGATATGTACGTAGTAACCATTTTCTTGAGAAGTATGTACTGGAATTGAACCAGTATACCAGCTAGTGGCTGGTAACCATTCATAGCTTTTTTGGTTACGTGAGTGAGAATGAGCGACTGTTAAATCAATAAATCTATCACAGAGGAATCAGAAATCTAAATATCAAGGAAAAAGACAATTTGTGTTGCGAAAAAGGGCAATTTGTAGATCGTAGATTGTTGCAAAATAAGCCGTTTGCACTGAACAACTACAAATGCGTGTATCTTCTTAGATGTATATACTTGCAAATGTATGTGCATTGGTAACAAGATAGTCCAAGAATGACTATTTTTTTACTATAAATCGATGGTGAGTCAGGCCGCAATATCTTCTTCATCATCAATGACGTCAAAGCGAGTTACAGAGAAACGGTATCCTTCGAAAAATCCGGCAAATAAACTTTCTAACGGAGCCTGTTTTAACAGCAGTCGGAGCCGGATTTTTCTTGGCCGGAGCGCGAGGTGAAAACGCGGAGTTTTACACAGTAAGACCGCTAAATCAAACGAATTTTCGTTTCGTCTAACAGTTCGAGTTATCGGGGTCTACTGTATTTGCAGGAACAGACAGTTAGGAGAAATACTTCCCTTACTCATAAACACACCTTTATGTTCCAGGCCAATTCTTTTTCCACGGTGGCAGTCTTATCATTCGACAATTGTATATCATATTGCTTTTCGCTTATTTGCTCCTGCACCTATGATTATTAAATGTTAGGATTTTTTCATAAAATCCAGCCAACTTCATGAAAAATATGAAAAATAAAGAAGCATGAACACATATATTGACAAGAATACCAAGTCAAGTTTTTCCTTAAGCTTCAATGTATCTGCGTCGTAGCGAAACGTTTCCTCCGTAATTTGCTGCTTGAAACGCGTCAATTTGGGCTGAAAAAAAATCCATGGATGGTTATTCGCCTCTTCCTCGATGACGAAAAAACGGAAACTTTTCGTAATGGCCAATGAACGGCGAGCAGATCTGGACATGAGAACGCCCGCCGTTAGCAGGCTGTTTTGGTTACCCCAAAAACCAATTTTGGTTACTCAAAAACCACAGTAACGAGTTTTACGCTAATTTTACATAGAGATTTCAGACCTCTTACCTCTAAATTTCTAATAGGTATTTAGTACCTAGATCATGTTGAAAAGAAACCAAAACCAAAATTTCATTGAAACCAATTCAAAGTAAACATACTGAGCTATAAAAACATTGCTGTAGTTCAACAACGTACATGTCTACACCACTGATTTAAATATATCAATCGTATAATTCTACTGCACGTGTAAGCCACGTGTTACCACAAAATCTCTCGCAAAAAATCGCGTCAGGTTACGGCAAAAGTTCCTTTGCGGTAACGAAGCGGTAATATGGGTTTTTTACCACAATTCCGGAAAGCCAGGTCAGCACACCGCAGTATTTAGACAACATAACACAGGAAGAAGCATGCCATTATTAGAGATGTACGTTTGCAGAAGAAACAGCTCAATTTTTTTCTTATTATTTTAACCTAATATGTAATTGATATAATCAGGTGTAGACATTCCTAAAAAGCTGGTTTGAGGACGAACTAGAATTCCAGTGCACGCAGCATGGCTTTTGATCGCGTCAAACCGTCCACTCGCGTAAGTACAATGTAATTGCAATATTGACAAACCGTTAAATGACCTCGAACATCCAACGACAATCTACCACCGCTCAACTGCAGCTCGTAATCATTGCCACAGGCGTTTTCAGCTGAGCTCGGCATCAACTTTAATTTACGACCTTCTCGATGTAATCTTTAATTTTTGTCAAAAGGTTCTTGCAAAAATTAAACATTACAACGAGAAAGGTGGTAAAAGTCTTGCTTTGCAAGCACTTTCTAAAAATTCCAACGAGAGAACGAAAACCTTCTTGATTCATAGGATAAAAACCTGCAATACAGTAAAAGATAAGAATATTGATCAACTATGGAAAACCTCCAACTGCTCTTTCTCTCTTGATGTTGCTGTTTACTCCAGATCTAAGATATCAAACTTCGGTCAGTCGATATATTTTGTCAGAAGAAAATAAGTACTATACCCTACCCTTAGCGCATAATTTACAAATGGACTTATACATGGACGCTAATATAGCGGGGGAGGGGGTGAGGCAGAAGTATTGCATGGACTATATTATACGTACGTACGTACTGAAGTGATCTATAAACATTACACAAGTAAATGGGCTTATCTAAAGGTCAGCGTATAAGCGGTAGGGTTTTTCTGTGAAAGTGAGTTGAGTTTCACGATTGGGGTGACCTAACTGGACATACTCAGGATAGGGCTTGTACATTGGAGGGGTAGTTCACCCTACGCAAGTGTAAGAGGATGCCTCAAGACACCACACTGCACTTACTGAGATCATTCAATTCTTCTTCGTTCTGAATTTTTCTTTCCTCAAGTTTGAGACGATGCTTCTCGAGATCAGTGATGTAGGTCTCGAATTTAGTCCTAAGAATCGACAACATCCCCAGTACATGTTTCCACAAATTAATACAACGTACATGGTGGAAGCAAGATCACGGTAAATCTTCTCTTACTTGTCGAGCTCTAGTGTTCTCTTTTGTTCCACTAATGCTTCAAGCTTTGACTAGGTTAAGTATGAATATGTTAAGACTGTTAGCTACACATCTATCAACTGTGAAAAGATGGAGATAAAAGGGAGGTAAAAAGGGGGAGGGTAATTTCAAAGATAATATGAAATACAAAAGTAGGAATTTTATAAAAGTGGAAGCGACCCACCCCAACCAAAAAGGATGCATGACAAATTTCAAACACGTAGCTCACTTTAACAAGATGCATCTTTAAAGGGATGAACGTGTATGGGAACATTTGTGGAAAACCCTTTAAATTAATTTTGCACAAATGAAGCTCCGTGCAAGAAAAATCACAGTACGAGTTTCGGCCAAATAATCTGAATGAAAATCGGAAAACCGAGCCATTCCTAGGATCGAGCCAAATTATGTCATAAATTATGTCACAGTAATTTTTCACAGTGATGGAGCTTCACCAGTGGCCAAAGTTTTGGCTATGAACAATTTATATGAGCGATTTTCCAAAATGTTCACACATGTACGTAAAAGTACCCAACCGTTTGCGATTATTTTGCTCACACTCACATTTAGAAATAAGCAATTTGAAGTTCTCAAAATTTCACGACACAATATCTTTCCTACCGGTTCACTTTCAAGTCTCGCCAGTTCTTCCTCCAGTAGCTTGTTTTCGTGACTCAGCCCTTCGTTTTCTGGAATATGAAAATCATAAAATTGTACATTACAAAGTGACGATGCACATAATTTTTCAACAATACACATTTACCAGCAATAAGTGGAGCATTCTTGTTTCCTACATTAATAGAAACAGATACATGCATAAATCTTGTAGGTCACTACCAAAGGTTACAGGAATTGATGCAATGACAACTTCACTCACTCAGTTCTTCATATAGTGCTTCTGTGTACTCATCCAGATTATCTAAGTCTTGACCGTAAATAAACGCTTCGCTTTCTCAAGGTAATCAAAATACAACTGCGGTAACAAGACAAAGGTGTACATAGTGAGACATTAACAGTGGCAGAAACATCTGCTGAATACAGAGATGGATCTGGAATGATTTAGTAGTGGTTGCTTTGGTTTAGATTAGATTTTCTGAAGATACTTTGCAGGTTTTGCCCCATCATGTCAGACATTTACATTTCGCTTAATTGTTTGGTATATTAATACAATTCATTGGAAAATCAAGCATAAACATCCCATATATCTATGACTGTCACAGCCATATTAAACTAGGTACATTTGAAACACATGTTATCACATGTTATGGCATTCAGACTGCAAAGACATTTTGATAGAGATAAGATCTTACCTTGTCCTCATCATTCATGGGAAACAGACATTCGTCGATGGTGTCATTAACATTTTGAGCCAACTGAAAAAAAAAGAAGAAAAGGAAATCACGCTTTAAAATGTTTGGGCAAACTCATCAATCTTCAATTTCAATTTGTACAAAATTCAACCTTGACAAGTTCCATAAGCCAGTGAAGTGCACCAAGGAGCACTGGCCATGTGTGAGGTGAGCCAACATTGGATAATGATGTTTTATGAATGGTAAAGGGGTACCCTAGAGTCTTTAAAATTCTTGGTACTTCCTCGTCAGGTTTTTGTTTCAGTTTTGTATAGTTTTCCTTTGGACTGATATGGCTATAAAGGAACTGTAAAATACAACTGCAAAGTAAATTGCAAAGTTCATAGAGATTTCAGGCTCGGTAGGTCACAAACATTGTGTGAATTATGTTATACATTGATTACTAGAATGCAAATTGGAATATTTGTCATATGATAGCAATATGATGTTTTATATCAATGCTGCATCATATTAATGCTGTATTTGTTTCGATTGGATGCCCAGAAGCTGCATATAAATACTAGTATCAATTTGATTGTAAGACAGGATGTATGTTTTTCCAGAAAAAATTTGAATATATTTTCTCAAATAATACACACACTGGTCACCAACGTGAAATGATTCAACAGAGATCAACATACTAACGGAAAATACTTTCAGGAACTCTTTGCTCGTTGGAATCGTCATTGTCTTCATGGAGATTGGATGCTGGTAATTGTTGACCGAAAGAAACTGAACAGACAAAAACAATTCAAAAAACTACTTTTACCATAATGCCGACATTTTAGCAAATACCTGCAATATGTCTTGTATTTCTTGATGCTGATAAGCTGAAAGATAAATGGCAATACAAGTAACTTAACTGATGAAAATTGCTGTTTGTCAAATTGAAGATAAAGCATAATCTCACATTTATCACTAAGCAATCTTGATTCTTTTATCTGCATGTACGATTCACGTCCATATTGACTTGATTTTCTGCTAAAATTCAAATGAAAAAAGCACACATAACTCCCACAGTATTCACAAGTAGAAGTTCCTGTAGCACCAAGAGATAGTAAGCCAACAAAACAAATAGTTATGTTAACAACGTACTATACTGCTAATATACGTTATGGTACAAACATTTTAAATCCCATAAAGGAAACCTGCTAGCTCCAAAAGATGTTTTCGGACGCGATATGCCTGACAACCTTGCACCAGTATTAGAAAGACGACCGCCCTGACTAATCGACGATCTAGATTGCTTTTCTTTGGTCGGAATTCGGTTTCTATTGCCCTGATTTGTCGAGCCAGAAGTTGAACTCCTCATTTTATTCATTTTTTGTACGATTCGCTGAAGTAAAAAGCCAGATAACCGTCTCTCATGTACCTCGATAAACAAAAATTTCAAATTCCAAAATGCCGCTCTTTTTATTTTTATCGTCACCAGGCCACGACCAGGCCTTGGCTTGCTCGGAGTCACGGACGTTGGAAGAAGTCAAGGTCAGGGCAAGGGTCGGCACCATTGAGCTCTATAAGACCTGGAGGGGCAAAGGGGCCTGGGCCTCGTGGTCAAAAACATGGCGGTAATGGCGGATTTTGGTGGTCAAAACTTCCACTTTAAAAATTTTTTTCAATATTCACTCCCTCCTGATTTCTAATACTGTTTGTATGAACGAAAACAAGTGAGAAAAACAAAACAATTACGATACCGACAGCATATCATGTGAAATTAATATTTCAGCATTGCGTGAAAAACACAGTACAGACACACATCAAGATCGACGGTAGAGGAACGCATATTTTGGATGTAACATTTAAGTTATTTTATGACATTTTAGCCTTTTAAAAGTGAAAATCAAACGGCATTCTTTACTAGACCTGTCAATCTCGTCAAACTTATACATTATTTCATGCTTTTGTGTGTTTGACTGTTTGTAAACAGTTTGGTGCACCTATTTTTCTTGCTTCAAATGGATAAATCTGTGTAAAAATGCTCCTAAGGAAGCGAGAAAATGTTTGCTTCAGTCCTACGACATAAGTCAACTAAAAATTTACCATGGATAAGTATCATAAGTGTATTGTCATTATCTGATAAATCTACTGAAAACTCATAAAGAATGTTGAACTAGAAGAGCTACAAAAAAGAAAAAATTCAAAACACCATGACACTGTTGCTTGGTAATTTGTATTTTGTAAACAGCTTGGCAGAATCTTGGATCTATTACTGAACAGAACTACATTGATTTTCCATTGAAATTGCAAACTTGGAAACTAAAGTGCATTGGTTTCTCTGACAAAAACACTGTCTATTGCTGCATGAAGGCAAAATAGTTATTTGACAGTGTAGGTGAAGAAATTTATCAAGTTCTATAGATATTATTGTGCATTACTTACAGTTTTTTGGAATTGTGTAATATATGTCAAGAACAAGATATAATTTTTCAAAAATGCTAACCCCTTCGAGCACTACTACTCTTCTGTTTTGCTTAAACAACTTACAGCTACCAATACTAATTATTTATATGTACAAACTAACATTTGGGAATTAAACGATAAACAACTTGTTAAATCTTTGTATTTTACATCAAGCCTTTGAATTAGTTCCTTTTATCTCTTGGTAAAAAAAATATTAATGAAAGACTTACAAATCAAGTTTCTCGAAAATAGTATTTTGTCCAAAGAAACTAAATAATTGGAAAGGTCGCATGTTGAAGACAGACTTTGCTTCTTTGACTAGGTTGCTTGACCATGAGCAAATTTAAATTTGTTTACAATTTGTTTAAAGAATTCTTTTTATTGATTTCTACTAATTCTTCATAAGACAAAGAATTTCTTTGCCATCTATTTTTGCTTCCTCTACATTCAACTTCATTGTAACCAATGCATCCGATGTGAATTTGTGGATCACCTGGAATCATACCAAGTATGGATTAAATGAGATGCGACAATGATATGTTTAATTTTTCATGCATATTAATGATATAATCATAAGCTACTGTTGAACAAAAATTTCAAGGTAGAAACAAATCTTAGCACATTGTTCAACACACTACTTTCATCTTGGTTTTGAAGTATTAACCTGTTTACTATAACAATAAATATTTCATTTACAGAAACGCTAAGTAGTACTTTAAAATTGTTAGCATAAATCCAACTTTCCAATCTCATTATAATTGTCTACACCATACAGTCAGTCAAATTGAGCAGGCAAACAGTTTAATAGTTATTTTTATTATACAACATATACCATAGTTCTCATTAATTTTGCATGGCACTGCATTCAATTTCAGCACAATTCTGTTGTAAACTTTCCCTTCATCTTTTCAAAAAAAAACATGAACAAATTATGCCCCATTTTTGGGAGGTAAACTCAATTCAAATCAGGAGAGTTTAGCTTGATGCCTTGATCATGATACAAGATGGATGCAAAACTCGATAAAAATTGACAGCTTCGACACGTCTGGCGAGCGATTAAGTGAAGAACAAACAAGACTGGACCAAAATAACTTTAAATTAAAACTTAGTAGTAGAAATAATTTACTATTTTGTTTTTAACACGATACTCTTCAAGTATCGTGTTAAAAACAAAATAGTAAAACTAATACTGTGCTACTTACTGGAGTCATGAAATGTTTCCTTTTCTGTCGCTATTTCAGCGTCCGCAAACCACAGAAGTTGGCAATTTAATAAATAAATTTTAAAAAAGTGTTTATGTTAGGAAAATAAAAGTTTTGATATTTTCTATACTCGCAATTGTGGTGGTCAAATCAGGGTGGGCGACAAAAATTTTATTTCATGAGCCCGCGTCTCTCCGCTGACTTTGACCACCAAAATCCGCCATGTTTTTGACCACGCGGCCGCGCGCTAATAATTTATACTAATTTTGTTGACGTTTCCCCTCCAGTTATTATAGAACTCAATGGTCGGCATTATTGAGTTCTATAATAACTGGAGCGGCTATCTTTACTGGGGCGAGGTCGCCAAAAAAATGGCGGTGTCACAGTGATATGGGTATCCCCGTGTTTTGGGTATCCCCGTACTTAAATCACTAGTGTTTTGGGCATCCCCCGTGAGGATACCCAAAACACTAAGACCATGTCATATGGCCGAAACAAATTAAGACCATGTAGCTTGAAACGAAAATTGGTATTTCTAAAAAGGACATGTATGGAAGTAATGACCAGACATTATAAAGGTGAGATGACCAGCTATTGCTAGCTAAAATATTATGTCTTTATTGGTATTTCATGGCATCTTGTTTGAATTACGTATGAAATGCTCATAGATACCGTTGACATATAAATTTGTTGTTGTGATTATCATTTTTTTTCATTCTGTATTGCGAAGTACATTGAACGCATACTTTTGAATAGACTTGTAATTTAACAGTTTTAGATTGTCTTGAGTTCATTCAAACATAAAATGATTTATTAAAAACTGGGTAGTGTCAAAAACTGTCAACAATTACGCACATTTGTAACAATATCTTTTCTTGTGATATAATCAGACTTTTACCCCTCGAAGAATACAACATAACAAATGTTAAAACAAATTGCAATATAGTTAAAAGTACTAATAATTCAGAAGAAGAATCGACTTTCATTATCAGTCACATAACACACACTTAACCTGTTTTTACTTCTTTTGACCACAATGTGGATTACATTTCCATTTTATTTCTGCTTTTTTAAAAAATAGTTCTGGGACATCAAGGCAGTGTTTATGAAACCAGCTCTGACAACTGACACATTCAACCATGTCATCTTCATGGTTATCTTCAATAACAATAATGCCAAACAAAATTTCAAGGAAATGTCTTAACCCCACCCACCCCCCTCCCCTCATTAATGTATTCATGATCGATTTGCAACATTCTCTTTAATTGATTTAATTGATTAATCACAGATTGGTTTGCACAGACTAATGAAAACTTAATCTGCTCAACTGAAACTTAAAATCTTCAACTTAATAGCGAGCTTTAGCAAGAGTACGACTACGTGTACGAAATTTGACCGTGTAAGGGAATGGCACGAGGAAGTTCGTGATCGTTGTCGCGTCGTCAAATGGTTGTTTTAGCCCAGTGAACTCGGCATTTGAATAACTGGAATGATAACCGAAGCCAAAAATTGAAGCCAAAAAAATTTTTCGTCATCATTCGTCATCACACGTCAGGCTCTATTCTCTCGCGTGTTCATTTTAATCATTTTTAATAATTTGTCCCTTGGTAATGGTAGAGTTCGCATCTTGATCAGAGCGTAAAAATAACGAAATTTTTGGAATGAAAAGGTTCACGTAAAGTGAATCAAAGTGATAAATCGAGAAGCAAGGTGAGGTGAACTTGATCGATCTGCTCTTACGCTGCGCTTTTCCTTTAAAACATATCAAAGTCTTTAAGGTAAATGGTTTGAACCCGGGAGTATCGTTACATGTTTGTAAATGTAGATCGTCCAGGTTGGTATAGTCCTGAGAAGGACTGTTTTTGTTGTTGTTGACTGACGTTTCGACAACCTTAGCGGTAGTCATCTTCATAGTCAAAAAAATGATATGCAAAGTCTTTAAGGATATTCAATTTTTGATATCGAGATGACAACCATTTAGTATTTCAAGCACCATCAAAATCGACTAAAAATACAATCGCTCTGTAAAAAGTAAAAATGCGAGTTATAGACTCAATATTTTTTATGAAACTGGATATTCAAGTTTCTTTTTTCTTCGGAAAAAAGATCTTTAAATCCATTGAAATGACAAAAAAAAGACAAACACTGTCTGACACCGTTTGAAAATTTACCTTCCGACGAAAGAAAAATTTATGCTTGAATATTTTCTCGTCATATTTTCTATTTTATTGTCTTTTTAGTCAATTTTCAGTTGGCTTTTCCTCGTTACAAGTTGTAAGTTACAACGAGCTCACTGTAGTAAAGTTTCAGCTGTAAAAAATAACCTTTTGCGAGGAGTTGGCCTCGTGTGTTGTTTGTCGTGATGTTGTTTATATGTTTAAGCTTTCGCAATTTGTATTCAAATTTATATTGGCCGTGTGTGTTTGGCACTCAGGGGAATGATACTGACGTACAAACCGCGTGAATATTCGACTTTGAAGGACTGAAACTGACGTACAAGCCGCGCGAGAGACTAGGACTTTGGCTTCAACTTTTTATCTATAAAATGTATTGTCGTTATCATTCCAGATATATATATATATATGGAGTTCACTGTTTTAGCCGTAAACAACAGAACGAGCTTTTTCCTGTGAAAAACACCGCATTTTGAGAAGCAGCTACGGCTCTATTTGTTAATAATAATATCGATGAATTCGTAATACTGATTTAGCGTGGGTATAGGACTGTTTAGAGAGAAAAATATTCATTATTCTACCTTTTATAGATTGTATATTTGCATTACTTTATTGTCTTTTTATAATTCACTTTGCGTCCCAGATACATGGAAGTTTTGCAGGTCGTATTTTCGTTTTTATTGTAAACCTGCGTTCATAAAAAGATACTGAAATAAAGCTTGGAAGGTCAAAAAAAGTATTGTAAACTAAGTTCTTGCACAATAAATAAATATACCTACTTTCGTTTCTTTAAAAGACATCATAGATATCGTACTCAGATTGATGACGGCTACGAGTTGTTGATGTCACAATGTTTTCGCGCCAAAATGACGTAATTCGTACTCTTTGCTAAAGCTCCCTAATGAAACTTAAGCAAACCAATCGACGCATGCGTTGTATTTTTGTTGTGTTGTAATGATTCTACTACGTCATCAGCTATGGTCGTGTCAGAGTTGTACGAGAGAGAACATACGCATGCGCAAGTTAGCCAGTTGTGTACGTCTTGTCGCAAGCGAAGCTACGGAAAAATTTAGGAAGGATATTTATTCATTATAATCCTTCCCATCCATAATACAATTTCTCACAGGATCTTCTAAAAAGGATACAATCGCTAATTACAGATAAGTTTATCGTTTTCCTTACGTTATTGTTCATAACTTTTGTTCCATTTATAATAGAAACAATTAAAGTATGTCATCCGAATCATTAACCGATGACGAGCACGCCGTGTCTGAATTTTATGAAATCAGCGCGCCGCAACGGCCTGATAGTGCTCCCACTAGCGGTGACTCACGTTTATACTCATTGCTTTCGGCTATGGAGGCTAACATGTCAGAAACGAATAAATATCTGAAAGGTATATTTGACGAGCATAATGCCGCCAAAAAGCGACCACGTGCGTCTATTGAAAACAATGAATTATTGATAATAGACGAAGCCGAACAAGGCGAACAGCATGAGTACTCGGCCCCAAAGAGGGCAAAAATTGCCACAAAGTCTGGGCACAATTCTGACGGCAATGACCGCTCATTTGACCAGCAAAGTCCTGAGTCTGAAAGTACTGAGGGAAACTCTGAGATTGTGCATGAATCAGACGATACTTTGAGTTTATTCGGAGGACCAGAAATTGATTCAGAAATTGAAAACGCGGTCGATAACGATGATCTTATTTCTGAAATTGCTCAAACACTATCTTCTAAGGAGCAAACCGGGCCCCCCATTTCAGAAAAATTGGCAAAAATCATAAACGCCAAGCTTAGCGAAAATTTTGACGTTACCAAATTAAAAGAAATTCTTAATAAGTACCCTCGACCAAAAATTGCGAGCAAATGTATGTGCCGAGAATAAATCAAGAAATATGGCAAAAAATGAAGCCATTTACTAAAAAAGGGGATATCAAAATGGCGAATCTACAAGATTCCACCATCAAAGGTTTATCAGGGCTTGCTTGTAGCATTGACAACCTTTTACAATGCAGGGAAAATAAGACAATTCCAAATTATAGAGCTCTTATACCAACACTGCTTGATGTAACTGCTTTATTTGGCCATGTATGCAAAGAACTTTCATACAAGCGCAAAGAGGCAATTCGGCCCATACTTCATCCTGATTTTAAACCGCTCTGTGCAAGGACTCACAAAGTGGGCCCTCTTTTGTTTGGGGAAGACCTAGCAAAATGTGCTCAAGATATTCGAAGCTCTAGTAAGACAGTAATGAATCTTATACCCAATCCAGGCCAACGGGCTCAAACTATTTTTACAAAACGGTTTTCATCAACCCAATCACAGGCACGCAAGCCTTTTTTATACCAACAAGGGAGGGCACAGTTCCCTCCCAGAAAACCCCAAACATTCACAAAGAACTAGAGTTATTAAAAAATCAGTTAACACAATTTTCAGAATTTGTTGAGCATGTACTTAAACCTTATTTGACCAGAAAAGTTAATTCATTTCAGGCTGGTCCAATTAAACTATGCCACAATGAATGGGCAAAGGAAGAAACAATGTAATTGCGGATAAAGAGTCAAGAAAATTGTACCGTGAAGGTGAATGGAGAAGGTGAAGGTGAAGGTGAAGGTGAAGGTGAATTTTTTTTCAAAAAATTCTACAGGAAAAAGCCACAGGCATTTTGGTAATACCAAATTGGCCAACACAACCTTGGTATCCCCTAATCGAACCAATACTTTTACAACCTCCTCATGTTTGTCCACCGTCGCAAAACCTGCTCAAACTACCAGCTGCACCAACAGAAGTGCATCCACTAGTAAAAAAGCTAGAGTTGAAAATATGTCTTGTGTCAGGCAACAACTTACATCAATAGGTGTCTCTCCAAGTTCAGCAGAGATAATCATGGCCTCTTGGAGAAAGGGAACAAAAACCCAATACCAAACTTATATAACTAAATGGAGTCAATTTTGTGTTGCTACAAAATGTGAATTTTTTAATCCCTCTATTACCACAATCATTCAATTTTTAACTAACCTTTTTCATTCAGGGCTATCTTACTCTGCTATAAATTCTGCACGCAGTGCATTATCTGCCATAACCCAGACCAACAATCGAAACAAATACAGCATTAATATGATGCAGCATTGATATAAAACATCATATTGCTATCATATGACAAATATTCCAATTTGCATTCTAGTAATCAATGTATAACATAATTCACACAATGTTTGTGACCTACCGAGCCTGAAATCTCTATGAACTTTGCAATTTACTTTGCAGTTGTATTTTACAGTTCCTTTATAGCCATATCAGTCCAACGGACACAAATAAAAAACTAAAAGAAAAACCAGAAGAGGAAGTACCGAAAATCTTCAAGAGTCTTGCTTACCCCTTCACCATTCATAAAACATCATTATCCAATGTTGGCTCACCTCACACATGGCCAGTGCTCCTTGGTGCACTTCACTGGCTTATGGAACTTGTCAAGGTTAAATTTTGTACAAATTGAAATTGAAGATTGATGAGTTTGCCCAAACATTTTAAAGCGTGATTTCCTTTTCTTCTTTTTTTTTCAGTTGGCTCAAAATGTTAATGACACCATCAACGAATGTCTGTTTCCCATGAATGATGAGGACAAGGTAAGTTATTATCTCTATCAAAATGTCTTTGCAGTCTGAATGCCATAACATGTGATAACATGTGTTTCAAATGTACCTAGTTTAATATGGCTGTGACAGTCATAGATATATGGGATGTTTATGCTTGATTTTCCAATGAATTGTATTAATATACCAAACAATTAAGCGAAATGTAAATGTCTGACATGATAGGGCAAAACCTGCAAAGTATCTTCAGAAAATCTAATCTAAACCAAAGCAACCACTACTAAATCATTCCAGATCCATCTCTGTATTCAGCAGATGTTTCTGCCACTGTTAATGTCTCACTATGTACACCTTTGTCTTGTTACCGCAGTTGTAATTTGATTACCTTGAGAAAGCGTACGAAGCGTTTATTTACGGTCAAGACTTAGATAATCTGGATGATTACACAGAAGCACTATATGAAGAACTGAGTGAGTGAAGTTGTCATTGCATCAATTCCTGTAACCTTTGGTAGTGACCTACAAGAACACTAGAGCTCGACAAGTAAGAGAAGATTTACCGTGATCTTGCTTCCACCATGTACGTTGTATTAATTTGTGGAAACATGTACTGGGGATGTTGTCGATTCTTAGGACTAAATTCGACACCTACATCACTGATCTCGAGAAGCATCGTCTCAAACTTGAGGAAAGAAAAATTCAGAACGAAGAAGAATTGAATGATCTCAGTAAGTGCAGTGTGGTGTCTTGAGGCATCCTCTTACACTTGCGTAGGGTGAACTACCCCTCCCATGTACAAGCCCTATCCTGAGTATGTCCAGTTAGGTCACCCAAATCGTGAAACTCAACTCACTTTCACAGAAAAACCCTACCGCTTATACGCTGACCCGTAGATAAGCACATTTACTTGTGTAATGTTTATAGATCACTTCAGTACGTACGTACGTATAATATAGTCCATGCAATACTTCTGCCTCACCCCCTCCCCCGCTATATTAGCGTCCATGTATAAGTCCATTTGTAAATTATGCGAAGGCTAAGGGTAGTGTATAGTACTTATTTTCTTCTGACAAAATATATCGACTGACCGAAGTTTGATATCTTAGATCTGGAGTACACAGCAACATCAAGAGAGAAAGAGCAGTTGGAGGTTTTGCACAGTTGATCAATATTCTTATCTTTTACTGTATTGCAGGCTTTTATCGTATGAATCAAGAAGGTTTTCGTTCTTTCGTTGGAATTTTTAGAAAGTGCTTGCAAAGCAAGACTTTTACCACCTTTCTCGTTAATTTCAGCTGAGCTCGGGATCAACTTTACTTTACGTAAATTAAAGTTGATCCCGAGCTCAGCTGAAAACGCCTGTGGCAATGATCACGAGCTGCAGTTGAGCGGTGGTAGATTGTCGTTGGATGTTCGAGGTCATTTAACGGTTTGTCAATATTGCAATTACATTGTACTTACGCGAGTGGACGGTTTGACGCGATCAAAAGCCATGCTGCGTGCACTGGAATTCTAGTTCGTCCTCAAACCAGCTTTTTAGGAATGTCTACACCTGATTATATCAATTACATATTAGGTTAAAATAATAAGAAAAATATTGAGCTGTTTCTTCTGCAAACGTACATCTCTAATAATGGCATGCTTCTTCCTGTGTCATGTTGTCTAAATATTGCGGTGTGCTGACCTGGCTTTCCGGAATTGTGGTAAAAAAACCCATATTACCGCTTCGTTACCGCAAAGGAACTTTTGTCGTAACCTGACGCGATTTTTTTCGAGAGATTTTGTGGTAACACGTGGCTTACACGTGCAGTAGAATTGTACGATTGATATATTTAATTCAGTGGTGTAGACATGTACGTTGTTGAACTACAGCAATGTTTTTATAGCTCAGTATGTTTGCTTTGAATTGGTTTCAATGAAATTTTGGTTTTGGTTTCTTTTCAACATGATCTTAGGTACTAAATACCTATTAGAAATTTAGAGGTAAGAGGTCTGAAATCTCTATGTAAAATTAGCGTAAAACTCGTTACTGTGGTTTTTGAGTAACCAAAATTGGTTTTTGGGGTAACCAAAACAGCCTGCTAACGGCGGGCGTTCTCATGTCCAGATCTGCTCGCCGTTCATTGGCCATTACGAAAAGTTTCCGTTTTTTCGTCATCGAGGAAGAGGCGAATAACCATCCATGGATTTTTTTTCAGACCAAATTGACGCGTTTCAAGCAGCAAATTACGAAGGAAACACATGTCGAATGATAACCACATGTTATCATTCGTAAATTGTATATCATATTATTGATGATATACAATTGTCGAATGATAACATGTGGTTTGGTTTACAGTGATATGGGAGAGTACAAAAAGCAAAAGATTGTTATGAACGAGCAATACTAAAGAAATTAACATTGAAGCTTTCATGGCCTACTTAAATTACACGGCCTGATATCTTGCCACAGTAAGGTCAAAAATGCAAGGCCATTGAATTTTCCGGCGGTGCTCTTCGAAATTTTGATCTTCTTCCTTCAAAATTGTTCATTGGCCTTACTTTATGGTATAATCTTGTAGCTAAAAGTCTAGCGATCATTTCAAGAGTTTATTGGCTGAAATTGGTCCTTTTTTCGCCGAGAAATCAAAGTTTATAAATTGGTGCGATCGGCGGTTGTTTTGGTAATCACGCGCTCGTCTTCGTTCGAAAATTTTAGCTCTTAAATCTATCGTGGATTATCTATCTTTGGTATCTACGTGTTCCTGGTACTCTCCTCTACATTTCTACAAGATTTTTGGAGTCCGTGAATTAAAGAAAAAATTTACACTAAAGTCCTAACAACAACAGTTGTATATAAAAAAGTTTAATTATATTCTTGATAATATTCAATACAAACATTTGTATTTTCAAGTTTTCAATAGTCATTTAGTTACTGGAACAGTTTTTTTTGTTAGCTAAGAAACTTGTATGGAACTTTTACAGTGTATATGAGATTAGTACGTTTGTAATCTATCTACTTTGAAGTTGTAAAGCTCCTTAAAATGAGTGAAGTGTTTGCTGGGTCATTTTCATGAAAATAAATCCATATCTTAGAAGAACCATGACAATTTTACATCACTTTTGTTGAATGCTGAAATGACCAGAAGACTACTTTGTCATATGAGGATGCAGTTTTTTCTGTATTCATTTTGGTAACTCATAAAATACATTTTTTGTTTATATGTTTTGTAGATGGGTTAATTGCTTGATAATTGTTAATCGATTCATTATTTCTTCTTGTTTATAGTTGGAATTACTCCCCTACGTAATGTAATAACTTATTTTAATTCTATATTTTCATTCGATGGAGGTATTCACCGATAGTTGTGATGTTGAATTTGATGATCTCACTTTCATTTAAATTTAACTTTTCTGAAATCAGTTTGCAGTAAGATTATTTATGTAGCTGGGAGCTAGGATTAGACGCAAAAAAATGTATTTCAATGTCATAGAAGTAAAAGACTCCGATTGTCCTTGTCTGGCTAGCCCATTATTTAGTTATTAAAATACCAAGATCGAAATTCTTTTCTTTAGCTTTTAAGGCTGACCCAGTATCAATAACTGCTGAATCATGCAAAATTTAAACGTCTGCTGATCACGAAAATTGTAATTTAAAGGGCACACGGGGATTTTCCTTGTCCCTCTAGGGGTACAGTTTGGGTTAGGGATCTTCGAAGATGGCTATAGACAGAAATCAACCGAAGCCATTGTGTACTTTTGAAGACAATCGTTTTAATTGTCAAAGTATCAACAAAACATTTTAAAGCGTGATTTCCTTTTCTTCTTTTTTTCAGTTGGCTCAAAATGTTAATGACACCATCGACGAATGTCTGTTTCCCATGAATGATGAGGACAAGGTAAGTTATTATCTCTATCAAAATGTCTTTGCAGTCTGAATGCCATGACATGTGATAACCTGTGTTTCAAATGTACCTAGTTTAATATGGCTGTGACAGTCATAGATATATGGAATGTTTATGCTTGATTTTCCAATGAATTGTATTAATATACCAAACAATTAAGCGAAATGTAAATGTCTGACATGATAGGGCAAAACCTGCAAAGTATCTTCAGAAAATCTAATCTAAACCAAAGCAACCACTACTAAATCATTCCAGATCCATCTCTGTATTCAGCAGATGTTTCTGCCACTGTTAATGTCTCACTATGTACACCTTTGTCTTGTTACCGCAGTTGTATTTTGATTACCTTGAGAAAGCGTACGAAGCGTTTATTTACGGTCAAGACTTAGATAATCTGGATGATTACACAGAAGCACTATATGAAGAACTGAGTGAGTGAAGTTGTCATTGCATCAATTCCTGTAACCTTTGGTAGTGACCTACAAGATTTATGCATGTATCTGTTTCTATTAATGTAGGAAACAAGAATGCTCCACTTATTGCTGGTAAATGTGTATTGTTGAAAAATTATGTGCATCGTCACTTTGTAATGTACAATTTTATGATTTTCATATTCCAGAAAACGAAGAGCTGAGTCACGAAAACAAGCTACTGGAGGAAGAACTGGCGAGGCTTGAAAGTGAACCGGTAGGAAAGATATTGTGTCGTGAAATTTTGAGAACTTCAAATTGCTTATTTCTAAATGTGAGTGTGAGCAAAATAATCGCAAACGGTTGGGTACTTTTACGTACATGTGTGAACATTTTGGAAAATCGCTCATATAAATTGTTCAGAGCCAAAACTTTGGCCACTGGTGAAGCTCCATCACTGTGAAAAATTACTGCGACATAATTTATGACATAATTTGGCTCGATCCTAGGAATGGCTCGGTTTTCCGATTTTCATTCAGATTATTTGGCCAAAACTCGTACTGTGATTTTTCTTGCACGGAGCTTCATTTGTGCAAAATTAATTTAAAGGATTTTCCACAAATGTTCCCATACACGTTCATCCCTTTAAAGGTGCATCTTGTTAAAGTGAGCTACGTGTTTGAAATTTGTCATGCATCCTTTTGGTAGGGGTGGGGGTCGCTTCCACTTTTATAAATACATACTTTTGTATTTCATATTTTCTTTGAAATTACCCTCCCCCTTTTCGCCTCCGTTTTATCTCCATCTTTTCACAGTTGATAGATGTGTAGCTAACAGTCTTAACATATTCATAATTAACCTAGTCAAAGCTTGAAGCATTAGTGGAACAAAAGAGAACACTAGAGCTCGACAAGTAAGAGAAGATTTACCGTGATCTTGCTTCCACCATGTACGTTGTATTAATTTGTGGAAACATGTACTGGGGATGTTGTCGATTCTTAGGACTAAATTCGAGACCTACATCACTGATCTCGAGAAGCATCGTCTCAAACTTGAGGAAAGAAAAATTCAGAACAAACAAAAATTGAATGATCTCAGTAAGTGCAGTGTGGTGTCTTGAGGCATCGCGCGAGTGGACGGTTTGACGCGATCAAAAGCCATGCTGCGTGCACTGGAATTCTAGTTCGTCCTCAAACCAGCTTCTTAGGAATGTCTACACCTGATTATATCAATTAAATATTAGGTTAAAATAATAAGAAAAAAATTGAGCTGTTTCTTCTGCAAACGTACATCTCTAATAATGGCATGCTTCTTCCTGTGTCATGTTGTCTAAATACTGCGGTGTGCTGACCTGGCTTTCCGGAATTGTGGTAAAAAAACCCATATTACCGCTTCGTTACCGCAAAGGAACTTTTGCCGTAACCTGACGCGATTTTTTGCGAGAGATTTTGTGGTAACACGTGGCTTACACGTGCAGTAGAATTATACGATTGATATATTTAAATCAGTGGTGTAGACATGTACGTTGTTGAACTACAGCAATTTTTTTATAGCTCAGTATGTTTACTTTGAATTGGTTTCAATGAAATTTTGGTTTTAGTTTCTTTTCAACATGATCTAGGTACTAAATACCTATTAGAAATTTAGAGGTAAGAGGTCTGAAATCTCTATGTAAAATTAGCGTAAAACTCGTTACTGTGGTTTTTGAGTAACCAAAATTGGTTTTTGGGGTAACCAAAACAGCCTGCTAACGGCGGGCGTTCTCATGTCCAGATCTGCTCGCCGTTCATTGGCCATTACGAAAAGTTTCCGTTTTTTCGTCATCGAGGAAGAGGCGAATAACCATCCATGGATTTTTTTTCAGCCCAAATTGACGCGTTTCAAGCAGCAAATTACGGAGGAAACGTTTCGCTACGACGCAGACACATTGAAGCTTAAGGAAAAACTTGACTTGGTATTCTTGTCAATATATGTGTTCATGCTTCTTTATTTTTCATATTTTTCATGAAGTTGGCTGGATTTTATGAAAAAATCCTAACATTTAATAATCATAGGTGCAGGAGCAAATAAGCGAAAAGCAATATGATATACAATTGTCGAATGATAAGACTGCCACCGTGGAAAAAGAATTGGCCTGGAACATAAAGGTGTGTTAATGAGTAAGGGAAGTGTTTCTCCTAACTGTCTGTTCCTGCAAATACAGTAGACCCCGATAACTCGAACTGTTAGACGAAACGAAAATTCGTTTGATTTAGCGGTCTTACTGTGTAAAACTCCGCGTTTTCACCTCGCGCTCCGGCCAAGCAAAATCCGGCTCCGACTGCTGTTAAAACAGGCTCCGTTAGAAAGTTTATTTGCCGGATTTTTCGAAGGATACCGTTTCTCTGTAACTCGCTTTGACGTCATTGATGATGAAGAAGATATTGCGGCCTGACTCACCATCGATTTATAGTAAAAAAATAGTTATTCTTGGACTATCTTGTTACCAATGCAACAATCAAAATACAACTGCGGTAACAAGACAAAGGTGTACATAGTGAGACATTAACAGTGGCAGAAACATCTGCTGAATACAGAGATGGATCTGGAATGATTTAGTAGTGGTTGCTTTGGTTTAGATTAGATTTTCTGAAGATACTTTGCAGGTTTTGCCCTATCATGTCAGACATTTACATTTTGCTTAATTGTTTGGTATATTAATACAATTCATTGGAAAATCAAGCATAAACATCCCATATATCTATGACTGTCACAGCCATATTAAACTAGGTACATTTGAAACACATGTTATCACATGTTATGGCATTCAGACTGCAAAGACATTTTGATAGAGATAAGAACTTACCTTGTCCTCACCATTCATGGGAAACAGACATTCGTCGATGGTGTCATTAACATTTTGAGCCAATTGAAAAAAAAAGAAAAGGAAATCACGCTTTAAAATGTTTGGGCAAACTCATCAATCTTCAATTTCAGTTTGTACAAAATTCAACCTTGACAAGTTCCATAAGCCAGTGAAGTGCACCAAGGAGCACTGGCCATGTGTGAGGTGAGCCAACATTGGATAATGATGTTTTATGAATGGTGAAGGGGTAACCAAGACTCTTGAAGATTTTCGGTACTTCCTCTTCTGGTTTTTCTTTTAGTTTTTATGTGTGTCCGTTGGACTGATATGGCTATAAAGGAACTGTAAAATACAACTGCAAAGTAAATTGCAAAGTTCATAGAGATTTCAGGCTCGGTAGGTCACAAACATTGTGTGAATTATGTTATACATTGATTACTAGAATGCAAATTGGAATATTTGTCATATGATAGCAATATGATTAAAATATTGCAATGATTAATAATATTATAAGTAATATTATAATATTATTATATTATTCTATATAACCAAAACAGCCCGCCGTTAGCAGGCTGTTTTGGTTACCCCAAAAACCAATTTTGGTTACTCAAAAACCACAGTAACGAGTTTTACGCTAATTTTACATAGAGATTTCAAACCTCTTACCTCTAAATTTCTAATAGGTATTTAGTACCTAGATCATGTTGAAAAGAAACCAAAACCAAAATTTCATTGAAACCAATTCAAAGTAAACATACTGAGCTATAAAAACATTGCTGTAGTTCAACAACGTACATGTCTACACCACTGAATTAAATATATCAATCGTATAATTCTACTGCACGTGTAAGCCACGTGTTACCACAAAATCTCTCGCAAAAAATCGCGTCAGGTTACGGCAAAAGTTCCTTTGCGGTAACGCAGCGGTAATATGGGTTTTTTTACCACAATTCCGGAAAGCCAGGTCAGCACACCGCAGTATTTAGACAACATGACACAGGAAGAAGCATGCCATTATTAGAGATGCACGTTTGCAGAAGAAACAGCTCAATTTTTTTCTTATTATTTTAACCTAATATGTAATTGATATAATCAGGTGTAGACATTCCTAAAAAGCTGGTTTGAGGACGAACTAGAATTCCAGTGCACGCAGCATGGCTTTTGATCGCGTCAAACCGTCCACTCGCGCGATGCCTCAAGACACCACACTGCACTTACTGAGATCATTCAATTTTGTTTGTTCTGAATTTTTTTTCCTCAAGTTTGAGACGATGCTTCTCGAGATCAGTGATGTAGGTCTCGAATTTAGTCCTAAGAATCGACAACATCCCCAGTACATGTTTCCACAAATTAATACAACGTACATGGTGGAAGCAAGATCACGGTAAATCTTCTCTTACTTGTCGAGCTCTAGTGTTCTCTTTTGTTCCACTAATGCTTCAAGCTTTGACTAGGTTAATTATGAATATGTTAAGACTGTTAGCTACACATCTATCAACTGTGAAAAGATGGAGATAAAACGGAGGCAAAAAGGGGGAGGGTAATTTCAAAGAAAATATGAAATACAAAAGTATGTATTTATAAAAGTGGAAGCGACCCACCCCCCACCCCCCCTACCAAAAAGGATGCATGACAAATTTCAAACACGTAGCTCACTTTAACAAGATGCACCTTTAAAGGGATGAACGTGTATGGGAACATTTGTGGAAAATCCTTTAAATTAATTTTGCACAAATGAAGCTCCGTGCAAGAAAAATCACAGTACGAGTTTTGGCCAAATAATCTGAATGAAAATCGGAAAACCGAGCCATTCCTAGGATCGAGCCAAATTATGTCATAAATTATGTCACAGTAATTTTTCACAGTGATGGAGCTTCACCAGTGGCCAAAGTTTTGGCTCTGAACAATTTATATGAGCGATTTTCCAAAATGTTCACACATGTACGTAAAAGTACCCAACCGTTTGCGATTATTTTGCTCACACTCACATTTAGAAATAAGCAATTTGAAGTTCTCAAAATTTCACGACACAATATCTTTCCTACCGGTTCACTTTCAAGTCTCGCCAGTTCTTCCTCCAGTAGCTTGTTTTCGTGACTCAGCTCTTCGTTTTCTGGAATATGAAAATCATAAAATTGTACATTACAAAGTGACGATGCACATAATTTTTCAACAATACACATTTACCAGCAATAAGTGGAGCATTCTTGTTTCCTACATTAATAGAAACAGATACATGCATAAATCTTGTAGGTCACTACCAAAGGTTACAGGAATTGATGCAATGACAACTTCACTCACTCAGTTCTTCATATAGTGCTTCTGTGTAATCATCCAGATTATCTAAGTCTTGACCGTAAATAAACGCTTCGTACGCTTTCTCAAGGTAATCAAAATACAACTGCGGTAACAAGACAAAGGTGTACATAGTGAGACATTAACAGTGGCAGAAACATCTGCTGAATACAGAGATGGATCTGGAATGATTTAGTAGTGGTTGCTTTGGTTTAGATTAGATTTTCTGAAGATACTTTGCAGGTTTTGCCCTATCATGTCAGACATTTACATTTCGCTTAATTGTTTGGTATATTAATACAATTCATTGGAAAATCAAGCATAAACATTCCATATATCTATGACTGTCACAGCCATATTAAACTAGGTACATTTGAAACACAGGTTATCACATGTCATGGCATTCAGACTGCAAAGACATTTTGATAGAGATAATAACTTACCTTGTCCTCATCATTCATGGGAAACAGACATTCGTCGATGGTGTCATTAACATTTTGAGCCAACTGAAAAAAAAAAGAAGAAAAGGAAATCACGCTTTAAAATGTTTTGTTGATACTTTGACAATTAAAACGATTGTCTTCAAAAGTACACAATGGCTTCGGTTGATTTCTGTCTATAGCCATCTTCGAAGATCCCTAACCCAAACTGTACCCCTAGAGGGACAAGGAAAATCCCCGTGTGCCCTTTAAATTACAATTTTCGTGATCAGCAGACGTTTAAATTTTGCATGATTCAGCAGTTATTGATACTGGGTCAGCCTTAAAAGCTAAAGAAAAGAATTTCGATCTTGGTATTTTAATAACTAAATAATGGGCTAGCCAGACAAGGACAATCGGAGTCTTTTACTTCTATGACATTGAAATACATTTTTTGCGTCTAATCCTAGCTCCCAGCTACATAAATAATCTTACTGCAAACTGATTTCAGAAAAGTTAAATTTAAATGAAAGTGAGATCATCAAATTCAACATCACAACTATCGGTGAATACCTCCATCGAATGAAAATATAGAATTAAAATAAGTTATTACATTACGTAGGGGAGTAATTCCAACTATAAACAAGAAGAAATAATGAATCGATTAACAATTAGCAAGCAATTAACCCATCTACAAAACATATAAACAAAAAATGTATTTTATGAGTTACCAAAATGAATACAGAAAAAACTGCATCCTCATATGACAAAGTAGTCTTCTGGTCATTTCAGCATTCAACAAAAGTGATGTAAAATTGTCATGGTTCTTCTAAGATATGGATTTATTTTCATGAAAATGACCCAACAAACACTTCACTCATTTTAAGGAGCTTTACAACTTCAAAGTAGATAGATTGCAAACGTAATAATCTCATATACACTGTAAAAGTTCCATACAAGTTTCTTAGCTAACAAAAAAAACTGTTCCAGTAACTAAATGACTATTGAAAACTTGAAAATACAAATGTTTGTATTGAATATTATCGAGAATATAATTAAACTTTTTTTATATACAACTGTTGTTGTTAGGACTTTAGTGTAAATTTTTTCTTTAATTCACGGACTCCAAAAATCTTGTAGAAATGTAGAGGAGAGTACCAGGAACACGTAGATACCAAAGATAGATAATCCACGATAGATTTAAGAGCTAAAATTTTCGAACGAAGACGAGCGCGTGATTACCAAAACAACCGCCGATCGCACCAATTTATAAACTTTGATTTCTCGGCGAAAAAAGGACCAATTTCAGCCAATAAACTCTTGAAATGATCGCTAGACTTTTAGCTACAAGATTATACCATAAAGTAAGGCCAATGAACAATTTTGAAGGAAGAAGATCAAAATTTCGAAGAGCACCGCCGGAAAATTCAATGGCCTTGCATTTTTGACCTTACTGTGGCAAGATATCAGGCCGTGTAATTTAAGTAGGCCATGAAAGCTTCAATGTTAATTTCTTTAGTATTGCTCGTTCATAACAATCTTTTGCTTTTTGTACTCTCCCATATCACTGTAAACCAAACCACATGTTATCATTCGACAATTGTATATCATCAATAATATGATATACAATTTACGAATGATAACATGTGGTTATCATCGACATGTGTTTCCTCCGTAATTTGCTGCTTGAAACGCGTCAATTTGGTCTGAAAAAAAATCCATGGATGGTTATTCGCCTCTTCCTCGATGACGAAAAAACGGAAACTTTTCGTAATGGCCAATGAACGGCGAGCAGATCTGGACATGAGAACGCCCGCCGTTAGCAGGCTGTTTTGGTTACCCCAAAAACCAATTTTGGTTACTCAAAAACCACAGTAACGAGTTTTACGCTAATTTTACATAGAGATTTCAGACCTCTTACCTCTAAATTTCTAATAGGTATTTAGTACCTAGATCATGTTGAAAAGAAACCAAAACCAAAATTTCATTGAAACCAATTCAAAGTAAACATACTGAGCTATAAAAACATTGCTGTAGTTCAACAACGTACATGTCTACACCACTGAATTAAATATATCAATCGTATGATTCTACTGCACGTGTAAGCCACGTGTTACCACAAAATCTCTCGCAAAAAATCGCGTCAGGTTACGACAAAAGTTCCTTTGCGGTAACGAAGCGGTAATATGGGTTTTTTTACCACAATTCCGGAAAGCCAGGTCAGCACACCGCAATATTTAGACAACATGACACAGGAAGAAGCATGCCATTATTAGAGATGTACGTTTGCAGAAGAAACAGCTCAATATTTTTCTTATTATTTTAACCTAATATGTAATTGATATAATCAGGTGTAGACATTCCTAAAAAGCTGGTTTGAGGACGAACTAGAATTCCAGTGCACGCAGCATGGCTTTTGATCGCGTCAAACCGTCCACTCGCGTAAGTACAATGTAATTGCAATATTGACAAACCGTTAAATGACCTCGAACATCCAACGACAATCTACCACCGCTCAACTGCAGCTCGTGATCATTGCCACAGGCGTTTTCAGCTGAGCTCGGGATCAACTTTAATTTACGTAAAGTAAAGTTGATCCCGAGCTCAGCTGAAATTAACTGAAAGGTGGTAAAAGTCTTGCTTTGCAAGCACTTTCTAAAATTCCAACGAAAGAACGAAAACCTTCTTGATTCATACGATAAAAGCCTGCAATACAGTAAAAGATAAGAATATTGATCAACTGTGCAAAACCTCCAACTGCTCTTTCTCTCTTGATGTTGCTGTGTACTCCAGATCTAAGATATCAAACTTCGGTCAGTCGATATATTTTGTCAGAAGAAAATAAGTACTATACACTACCCTTAGCCTTCGCATAATTTACAAATGGACTTATACATGGACGCTAATATAGCGGGGGAGGGGGGGAGGCAGAAGTATTGCATGGACTATATTATACGTACGTACGTACTGAAGTGATCTATAAACATTACACAAGTAAATGTGCTTATCTACGGGTCAGCGTATAAGCGGTAGGGTTTTTCTGTGAAAGTGAGTTGAGTTTCACGATTTGGGTGACCTAACTGGACATACTCAGGATAGGGCTTGTACATGGGAGGGGTAGTTCACCCTACGCAAGTGTAAGAGGATGCCTCAAGACACCACACTGCACTTACTGAGATCATTCAATTCTTCTTCGTTCTGAATTTTTCTTTCCTCAAGTTTGAGACGATGCTTCTCGAGATCAGTGATGTAGGTGTCGAATTTAGTCCTAAGAATCGACAACATCCCAGTACATGTTTCCACAAATTAATACAACGTACATGGTGGAAGCAAGATCACGGTAAATCTTCTCTTACTTGTCGAGCTCTAGTGTTCTTGTAGGTCACTACCAAAGGTTACAGGAATTGATGCAATGACAACTTCACTCACTCAGTTCTTCATATAGTGCTTCTGTGTAATCATCCAGATTATCTAAGTCTTGACCGTAAATAAACGCTTCGTACGCTTTCTCAAGGTAATCAAATTACAACTGCGGTAACAAGACAAAGGTGTACATAGTGAGACATTAACAGTGGCAGAAACATCTGCTGAATACAGAGATGGATCTGGAATGATTTAGTAGTGGTTGCTTTGGTTTAGATTAGATTTTCTGAAGATACTTTGCAGGTTTTGCCCTATCATGTCAGACATTTACATTTCGCTTAATTGTTTGGTATATTAATACAATTCATTGGAAAATCAAGCATAAACATCCCATATATCTATGACTGTCACAGCCATATTAAACTAGGTACATTTGAAACACATGTTATCACATGTTATGGCATTCAGACTGCAAAGACATTTTGATAGAGATAATAACTTACCTTGTCCTCATCATTCATGGGAAACAGACATTCGTTGATGGTGTCATTAACATTTTGAGCCAACTGAAAAAAAGAAGAAATCACGCTTTAAAATGTTTGGGCAAACTCATCAATCTTCAATTTCAATTTGTACAAAATTTAACCTTGACAAGTTCCATAAGCCAGTGAAGTGCACCAAGGAGCACTGGCCATGTGTGAGTGAGCCAACATTGGATAATGATGTTTTATGAATGGTGAAGGGTAAGCAAGACTCTTGAAGATTTTGGTACTTCCTCTTCTGGTTTTCTTTTAGTTTTTTATTTGTGTCCGTTGGACTGATATGGCTATAAAGGAACTGTAAAATACAACTGCAAAGTAAATTGCAAAGTTCATAGAGATTTCAGGCTCGGTAGGTCACAAACATTGTGTGAATTATGTTATACATTGATTACTAGAATGCAAATTGGAATATTTGTCATATGATAGCAATATGATGTTTTATATCAATGCTGCATCATATTAATGCTGTATTTGTTTCGATTGTTGGTCTGGGTTATGGCAGATAATGCACTGCGTGCAGAATTTATAGCAGAGTAAGATAGCCCTGAATGAAAAGGTTAGTTAAAATTGAATGATTGTGGTAATAGAGGGATTAAAAAATTCACATTTTGTAGCAACACAAAATTGACTCCATTTAGTTATATAAGTTTGGTATTGGGTTTTTGTTCCCTTTCTCCAAGAGGCCATGATTATCTCTGCTGAACTTGGAGAGACACATATTGATGTAAGTTGTTGCCTGACACAAGACATATTTTCAACTCTAGCTTTTTTACTAGTGGATGCACTTCTGTTGGTGCAGCTGGTAGTTTGAGCAGGTTTTGCGACGGTGGACAAACATGAGGAGGTTGTAAAAGTATTGGTTCGATTAGGGGATACCAAGGTTGTGTTGGCCAATTTGGTATTACCAAAATGCCTGTGGCTTTTTCCTGTAGAATTTTTTGAAAAAAAATTCACCTTCACCTTCACCTTCACCTTCACCTTCACCTTCACCTTCTCCATTCACCTTCACGGTACAATTTTCTTGACTCTTTATCCGCAATTACATTGTTTCTTCCTTTGCCCATTCATTGTGGCATAGTTTAATTGGACCAGCCTGAAATGAATTAACTTTTCTGGTCAAATAAGGTTTAAGTACATGCTCAACAAATTCTGAAAATTGTGTTAACTGATTTTTTAATAACTCTAGTTCTTTGTGAATGTTTGGGGTTTTCTGGGAGGGAACTGTGCCCTCCCTTGTTGGTATAAAAAAGGCTTGCGTGCCTGTGATTGGGTTGATGAAAACCGTTTTGTAAAAATAGTTTGAGCCCGTTGGCCTGGATTGGGTATAAGATTCATTACTGTCTTACTAGAGCTTCGAATATCTTGAGCACATTTTGCTAGGTCTTCCCCAAACAAAAGAGGGCCCACTTTGTGAGTCCTTGCACAGAGCGGTTTAAAATCAGGATGAAGTATGGGCGAATTGCCTCTTTGCTTGTATGAAAGTTCTTTGCATACATGGCCAAATAAAGCAGTTACATCAAGCAGTGTTGGTATAAGAGCTCTATAATTTGGAATTGTCTTATTTTCCCTGCATTGTAAAAGGTTGTCAATGCTACAAGCAAGCCCTGATAAACCTTTGATGGTGGAATCTTGTAGATTCGCCATTTTGATATCCCCTTTTTTAGTAAATGGCTTCATTTTTTGCCATATTTCTTGATTTATTCTCGGCACATACATTTGCTCGCAATTTTTGGTCGAGGGTACTTATTAAGAATTTCTTTTAATTTGGTAACGTCAAAATTTTCGCTAAGCTTGGCGTTTATGATTTTGCTGAAATGGGGGCCGGTTTGCTCCTTAGAAGATAGTGTTTGAGCAATTTCAGAAATAAGATCATCGTTATCGACCGCGTTTTCAATTTCTGAATCAATTTCTGGTCCTCCGAATAAACTCAAAGTATCGTCTGATTCATGCACAATCTCAGAGTTTCCCTCAGTACTTTCAGACTCAGGACTTTGCTGGTCAAATGAGCGGTCATTGCCGTCAGAATTGTGCCCAGACTTTGTGGCAATTTTTGCCCTCTTTGGGGCCGAGTGCTCATGCTGTTCGCCTTGTTCGGCTTCGTCTATTATCAATAATTCATTGTTTTCAATAGACGCACGTGGTCGCTTTTTGGCGGCATTATGCTCGTCAAATATACCTTTCAGATATTTATTCGTTTCTGACATGTTAGCCTCCATAGCCGAAAGCAATGAGTATAAACGTGAGTCACCGCTAGTGGGAGCACTATCAGGCCGTTGCGGCGCGCTGATTTCATAAAATTCAGACACGGCGTGCTCGTCATCGGTTAATGATTCGGATGACATACTTTAATTGTTTCTATATAAATGGAACAAAAGTTATGAACAATAACGTAAGGAAAACGATAAACTTATCTGTAATTAGCGATTGTATCCTTTTTAGAAGATCCTGTGAGAAATTGTATTATGGATGGGAAGGATTATAATGAATAAATATCCTTCCTAAATTTTTCCGTAGCTTCGATTGCGACAAGACGTACACAACTGGCTAACTTGCGCATATGTTCTCTCTCGTACAACTCTGACACGACCATAGCTGATGACGTAGTAGAATCATTACAACACAACAAAAATACAACGCATGCGTCGATTGGTTTGCTTAAGTTTCATTAGGGAGCTTTAGCAAAGAGTACGAATTACGTCATTTTGGCGCGAAAACATTGTGACATCAACAACTCGTAGCCGTCATCAATCTGAGTACGATATCTATGATGTCTTTTAAAGAAACGAAAGTAGGTATATTTATTTATTGTGCAAGAACTTAGTTTACAATACTTTTTTTGACCTTCCAAGCTTTATTTCAGTATCTTTTTATGAACGCAGGTTTACAATAAAAACGAAAGTACGACCTGCAAAACTTCCATGTATCTGGGACGCAAAGTGAATTATAAAAAGACAATAAAGTAATGCAAATATACAATCTATAAAAGGTAGAATAATGAAGATTTTTCTCTCTAAACAGTCCTATACCAACGCTAAATCAGTATTACGAATTCATCGATATTATTATTAACAAATAGAGCCGTAGCTGCTTCTCAAAATGCGGTGTTTTTCAAAGGAAAAAGCTCGTTCTGTTGTTTACGGCTAAAATAACCATTTGACGACGCGACACCGACCACGAACTTCCTCGTGCCATTCCCTTACACGGTCAAACTTCGTACACGTAGTCGTACTCTTGCTAAAGCTCGCTATTAAGTTGAAGATTTTAAGTTTCAGTTGAGCAGATTAAGTTTTCATTAGTCTGTGCAAACCAATCTGTGATCAATCAATTAAATCAATTAAAGAGAATGTTGCAAATCGATCATGAATACATTAATGAGGGGTTAAGAACATTTCCTTGAAATTTTGTTTGGCATTATTGTTATTTTATAAAGAAAAGAATTTTTCCATGTTTACACAGGTTTATGCAAACCACAGAGACGTTTGTAAAACTCTCGAGCAGGTTCAAACACGGCAAATATCTTTTATGATAAATAGAGGTGAAAAAACATTACCTCTATTATAGTCTTGTGTTTCAGAACACGCTCACACCCATTACGTAAAAATGATTTTAAAGATTCTTCTTCACGCTTCAACTCTACCTCTGTTGATTTTAATCTTTACATAATTGAGGTAACATAAAAAATGAAAATATCACGATTATTTGAAGTAAAATTCATGATGAAATCCCGTAACAGTCAAAATGAAACATGCTCATAATTACTTTCTCCTCAAAGTACCTTTCTTTGGCATCCTCGAGTTTCTTTCGTTTTCCCGACATTTCAGTTTGATTATCCAATCTCAATCGATCTATCAGATTACGCTGATCTTCAATTCCGTCGGACAAAATTTTTAATTCTTCGTCGTATTGCTGAGAAGAATCAATGATCAACATTCACGTAGAGATAAAGTTTAGAAAGTTTCGATGCACGATAAACGAGAAGTAGCCAGATTTTGCAATACAGCAAGTATTTCAGGCAGACGTCAATTTGCAAAGGTAAACAGTTTGAAAATCCTGTACCGAATTGAAAATTAGACGAAAAACATTTTCCGAAAGTGGATTACTTTGGAATACGCGATCAAAAAATGTAGACAAATGGAACGCCAAAAATGTTTCAAAAACTGATCAAAGCGCCACATTCCATCGGAAGTGACGCTGCCACATAATAATTAACATCATTATAAACCGTGTTCGTGTGCAAGTCCATGTTTTCGGAAGTGCATATACCAAGCTAAAGCTATCTTTACCTTATCATTATGTAAGTTTGCCATGTTTGAAGTTTCGAATAATCCGCCAAATTTAATTTTTTTTGTCATCCGCCGACACTTATTTTTTGGGGCTCATACTTTATGCGGGCCGTTTTTATAAATCAGGCGTGCCTATTAAAAAAATGGCCCGCTTAAAAAACTGACGTGTAAACAAAGCGGACCTAATAAAAGACATTGGCCCGCGTGCCAAAATTTAGTCGTGCCGTGCCCAAAACAGTTGTCGTGTAAACGGGGCTTAGATGTCAATTTCTTTTAACTACTCATTATCGACGGGTTCAATGTTTTCAGTTACAGGCATTGTTTCTTCTATCGCATTATCTGTTGGAAGTTTAATCGCGGCGGGTCCATAATTTTTAACAGTTTTACTTGTGTATCCTGCTTGCAAATGACCCTCAAGATTGAGATCGTTGCGTCCGAAACTTATACCCAATTGAAACATTTTAGGACGATTGTGATTTTTATCCCTTTTTGCATTTCTATTTTCACGTTTGCTGCTACCGATTCCCATTTTCACAATGACATGGTCATAAAACAACTGAAGTCAAAATGCAATAACATTGGAATTTATATTTTTCTTTTTTCTTTTTGTCAAAGCAATTACATAGTTGATTTGTATTTCAGTTTACAACTACAATCATCATAGTCAAAGAGATGTTGAACAAAAGGAGGACGTTTTGTCTCCGTGTACATTGGCTAATCTTTTTTATTCAATTTGACTGGAATGGTATTAAACCTGAGTATTTCACATACATGAAATGTTGTCCCATGTCACATATTGTCCCCTTTTCTAACTGAACACCTCATGTAGAGATGTAAAGGTGTGTTAATCTACGGCTCATACCAGATTGTTTGCCATAAATTCCAGAGGGCTATTGATGTATGAATAGCATTTTCTATGAAGTAAAAATGTCTTCCAATGTATGCAGATAAACCTTGAAATTTGGCAAAACAGCAAAGTATTTTTCATGATCACTTGGTAATTTTTCTGATGATCAGTATAATTTCTAAACTAAATTATTTCAGATTTACATTTAAACGAGCTTTGATCATATGAAAAAATATTTATCATAACCAGTAAGCATGACACATGAACCAATTTTAACATTCATGTAATTATATAATTAAAGACATGTTGGTTACATTCTGTTTGTATTTGCAAATACAATGCTACTAGTGATTGCTATATAGCACACCTTGCATATACTTACAGAAGATAATAGTCTAGTGAAATGCCTAAGAAACATTCATGGCATTAAGCTGTCCTTAACTGCAGTTTTTCACTTTGATAATTTTCTTAATCTTTGACAGAAAAAATTTTGAGTTTTTCTCAAAAGTGAATTTGCTGGCTCTGATGTGGAGATGGGTAAAGGGTTACAATAAACTTGCATGGTTTGAAGTCTGAGCTTTTCTATATTTATGAACTGTCACTTGTAGTACCAAATTTCTAACTTAACTTATTACATAGAGGTTTGAATGGGTTCTCTAGGGGGGTCTATGCCTGACAACTTGGTAGAAATTTTTAAAGACTATATCTGTTTTTGAATAGCATTATTGTAAAATAAATTTTACGTTCCTAGACATGCTAATGAGCCATATATTTTGCATGATAATGAGCCTAAATATTTGGCAAAACATTCAAGTATTGTTCACTTCATTTTTTTTTGAAAAAAACGTAATCAAAATGTGTTGTTTTTACCGAAAAACGATGCCCACAAAATACATCTTGTATTGGTCTAAAACGCTGAAAATGGCGTTTTAGAGGTTCTGAAATTCAAAATTTCTCAGGGGAGAATGCCTCAGACCCCTCCTGGCGCGGAGTGCCTCCGACGTTTTATGACTGATGTTTGAAAAATCCTAGATCCGCCCCTGTCTCGAGAGGCATTATAATTCCTTTTACCCAATCCAAACTGGTACAATTTACTTTTAAGTGTTCTCATACACATTTTTATGCCATGAAACTTCTCCAAAAACTCTAAAATAGTTCTATATTTGTAGTTTTTCTCATAGTAATATCTTATGGCTTCCTCCATATTTGCGACACGGCAGATGTTATTAAGGATGCACTAAGCATGTTTTGAAAATGTCGAGTTGCATTTGAGTATTCAATTTGTTTGTGTATTTGAATTTGCGTTTGTGTATTTGAATTTGTGTTTGTGTATTTGAATTTGTGTTTGTGTATTTGAATTTGCGTTTGTGTATTTGAATTTGTGTTTGTGTATTTGAATTTGCGTTTGTGTATTTGCGTTTGTGTATTTGAATTTGCGTTTGTGTATTTGAATTTGCGTTTGTGTATTTGAATTTGCGTTTGTGTATTTGAATTTGCGTTTGTGTATTTGAATTTGCGTTTGTGTATTTGAATTTGTGTTTGTGTATTGCACTTCTGGGCCACCGTAGGAATCCAAAATGAAAACAAATATACTTTGATTTTTCACGGTCAGTAATCATTATCGTCTTTGTATTTTTGTTATATAAAACATGCATTGTTAACATAACAATTTGATTTTAAAGAACCATCAATGCTGATGACTCCTGAATCACCAGATCTTGCAAACCTTAAAAAATCTACCATAAAAGGTGCATAAAATTTTTTATGTGAATTATATTTAAATAAGTAGTAAGTTATGTTTCATTAATTGAAAATGATTTTTTTTGTAACACTTGTTGACGTAATAAATTTATTACCAGTTTTAAAATAATGAATAAAATTAAATTTTCTAAAGAAATACATGAAAATTTTCTTTGTATGAGTAAAGTGGGTTTTGTTTTGTAAGTGTCGCCGTATAAAGTCGCTCATTGTGGATTCATTTATTTATTCATTATTTGTTAACCGTCATGGCTAACTTCTAAAATAAATGTCGATTTCTTCTTTGGAAAGAACGCAGGAAACCTCGGGAATAGCACTCCTCATTTTCACAGACCATTCCTTCGTGTTCTTTTGAACTTCTTTAACACGATTCTATGCGAGGAAAGCAAGCTCTTTTACGATTTGGCATTTCAATAAAAATCACGAGTTTTTTTTTTAATTCATTACAACACAACAAAAATACAACGCATGCGTCGATTGGTTTGCTTAAATTTCATTAGGGAGCTTTAGCAAAGAGTACGAATTACGTCATTTTGGCGCGAAAACATTGTGACATCAACAACTCGTAGCCGTCATCAATCTGAGTACGATATCTATGATGTCTTTTAAAGAAACGAAAGTAGGTATATTTATTTATTGTGCAAGAACTTAGTTTACAATACTTTTTTTGACCTTCCAAGCTTTATTTCAGTATCTTTTTATGAAAGCAGGTTTACAATAAAAACGAAAATACGAGCAGAAAAACTTCCATGTATCTGGGACGCAAAGTGAATTATAAAAAGACAATAAAGTAATGCAAATATACAATCCATAAAAGGTAGAATAATGAAGATTTTTCTCTCTAAACAGTCCTATACCAACGCAAAATCAGTATTACGAATTCATCGATATTATTATTAACAAATAGAGCCGTAGCTGCTTCTCAAAATGCGGTGTTTTTCACAGGAAAAAGCTCGTTCTGTTGTTTAAGGCTAAAACAACCATTTGACGACGCGACAACGACCACGAACTTCCTCGTGCCATTCCCTTACACGGTCAAACTTCGTACACGTAGTCGTACTCTTGCTAAAGCTCGCTATTAAGTTGAAGATTTTAAGTTTCAGTTGAGCAGATTAAGTTTTCATTAGTCTGTGCAAACCAATCTGTGATCAATCAATTAAATCAATTAAAGAGAATGTTGCAAATCGATCATGAATACATTAATGAGGGGGGGGGGTTAAGAAATTTCCTTGAAATTTTGTTTGGCATTATTGTTATTTTATAAAAGAAAAGAATTTTTCCATGTTTACACAGGTTTATGCAAACCACAGAGACGTTTGTAAAAACTCTCGAGCAGGTTCAAACACGGCAAATATCTTTTATGATAAATAGAGGTGAAAAAAAAACATTACCTCTATTATAGTCTTGTGTTTCAGAACACGCTCACACCCATTACGTAAAAATGATTTTAAAGATTCTTCTTCACGCTTCAACTCTACTTCTGTTGATTTTAATCTTTACATAATTGAGGTAACATAAAAAATGAAAATATCACGATTATTTGAAGTAAAATTCATGATGAAATCCCGTAACAGTCAAAATGAAACATGCTCATAATTACTTTCTCCTCAAAGTACCTTTTTTTGGCATCCTCGAGTTTCTTTCGTTTTCCCGACATTTCTGTTTGATTATCCAATCTCAATCGATCTATCAGATTACGCTGATCTTCAATTCCGTCGGACAAAATTTTTAATTCTTCGTCGTATTGCTGAGAAGAATCAATGATCAACATTCACGTAGAGATAAAGTTTAGAAAGTTTCGATGCACGATAAACGAGAAGTAGCCAGATTTTGCAATACAGCAAGTATTTCAGGCAGACGTTAATTTGCAAAGGTAAACAGTTTGAAAATCCTGTACCGAATTGAAAATTATACGAAAAAAATTTTCCGAAAGTGGATTACTTTGGAATACGCGATCAAAAAATGTAGACAAATGGAACGCCAAAAATGTTTCAAAAACTGATCAAAGCGCCACATTCCATCGGAAGTGACGCTGCCACATTATAAACCGCGTTCGTGTGCAAGTCACTGATCTGATAATAGACTGGATATAGCTTCTACAGGTATCAAAAGTGAAGCCTAATTATATATGCAAAATTCACTTCCGGTTACCACGGCGAGATACACATTACTTTAAAAATGTATGGCGGATAACGTTTACAAACATGGATTTTCGAATATTTAAGACCTTTCGCGACTCCTTACTAACCTTAAGTATTAGTCATGGATATAAAAGGTTATGCGAATCGATTTGACATCAAAATGATTCCTATAGCTGTAGAATATCGACGTTAGTGTTGATTTAAAAGTTGTACATGCGAGAATGTATTTTGTCCCATCGTTGCCAATGCAAGATAGTTCACTGCTTGCTTTCCAATTTCTGAGGCATTTATGATCTAGTATACGTTTCAGTTCTTTAGAAATGGGGTGAGTTACTTTTTTTATCATTCTTTCTTTATGTTGAGAGATTGTTGACATTTTATTTTTACTGTAACTTCATTTTTTCATGAGCAAAATACTACTTACGCTTAAACAAGACAAGTTTATTTAGTTTCTTTCGCACTTTATCTTTAGTTTCCATTTCTGTAGTTGTTTTTCTCAAATGGTAAACTCGCAATTTGCTCTTAATTATTTAAAGAAGTATGATTTTCATCGACATTAAAATCCCACAAATGCGTTCTACACACATTAGGACACTTTAGTAAACTGCTTTTGAAACATCAAGGTAATTTAGCCAGCCAGGTATGAATTTGGAGGCCCTTTAAGAGTGCAAAAGCTGGGTGCATTGTTTAATCTTTATAATCATCTTGGTTTTGGTTTGTCTCTTAAGCAGATTTAAATTATTACCAGCAACATAAGACTGTGTCCACAGTTTATAATTATAAGTGTATCCAATTGTATCCAGTATATCAGTTTCACATTGTCTTGTGCTAATTCCTTTACAGCCATGAATACTGCTTCTCAGCAATAGTTTATTGTCTACAGCTGTAAATTGTTCAACTTATCGATTATTAAAGTCACACTTTACAAGTGGAATAAAGCTCTTGTCTTTCTTATTACTACAAGACTCAAGACTGATGATCAAACTATTGCTGAAAAGGATTCTAATGTCAACTGCAATTCATATTTATACCATCTCTAACTACATTCATATCTTAAGAATAATTTTAATCTTTTGGAAAAATATTTAAGGCATTAATATTACATTCATACAACTATGATCTTCTGGAATTTGCTTAGCACTTAGAAGAGGAAAATGAAATTTACTGAATGTAAAAAGGCAGTAATATCGTACATGGCTGGCTATATTGCCCAGATGGTGCCAAAGAAAATAAACTGTCCAGTTTGTCATGAAGCAGTCGGTTAAGAAACCATAAAAATGAGTCTGCTTTCTTGACTTTAAAAGACAGGGGTAATTTGTTTAAGCCAACAGCAAGTGTTATAGTAATATGCAATGAAACAGAGAGATGCTTTCAGAGAATGTTGGCAGCTACAAACGGAAATTTACTGCAAGGGAAAGGAATTCCTGATGGTATTGCTGTGTCCGTATTAAATGGTATAGACTTGAGGACCACATTCAAGGATCTCGACGCAGACATGTTGAATACTACTGTTCATGAAAATCATATTTACTCATTAAGACCATATATAAATGTTACAGCAAGGTGCGAGTATACCATTTGAGAAAAACAACTACAGAAATGGAAACTAAAGATAAAGTGCGAAAGAAACTAAATAAACTTGTCTTGTTTAAGCGTAAGTAGTATTTTGCTCATGAAAAAATGAAGTTACAGCAAAAATAAAATGTAAACAATCTCTCAACATAAAGAAAGAATGATAAAAAAAGTAACTCACCTCATTTCTAAAGAACTGAAAGGTATACTAGATCATAAATGCCTCAGAAATTGGAAAGCGAGCAGTGAACTATCTTGCATTGGCAACGATGGGACAAAATGCATTCTCGCATGTACAACTTTTAAATCAACACTAACGTCGATATTTTACAGCTATAGGAATCATTTTGATATCAAATCGATTCCATAACCTGTTTTATCTATGACTAATACTTGAGGTTAGAAAGGAGTCGCGAAAGGTCTTAAATATTCGAAAATCCATGTTTGTAAACGTTATCCGCCATACATTTCTCGAGTAATTTGTATCTCGCCGTGGTAACCGGAAGTGAATTTTGCATATATAATTAGGCTTCACTTTTAATACCTGCAGAACCTATATCCAGTCTATTATCAGATCAGTGTTGCAAGTCCATGTACACAGTCGTACCTATTTTTAGTTTAGATTTAACCAGTTTTCAAAACAATAAATTTGCTTAAAGGGGAACTCCACCCAAAAATAATGTTGGTCTTAAAACTTTGTCTGTCCCGTGAAAATAAATATGCGGCAATTTTTTTGTTTGTTTGATTTAATATTTTCACAAAAAATGAGTTGAAATGCTGCAGCTAGGGCATCCGGTGCGTGGGAGCAGAAATATGTCAGCGGCTTGTATTGACGTCATATCGTCAATTGCTCCTCAAAGCTTTATGTAAAGTCATTGCACAGTCATAATAAACTTGCGTCAAAATGCTTCTCCTAATCACAAAATGTTTCTTTTCGAAACGTCAGAATTTTTTATTCGTAGGTATATACACAAGCAACTTTTATAGCTTACATGCAAGTATTGAGCTGGTTATTTGTATTCTGTTTTAATAGAACGGTTTCACATCCATATAGGCCATTATCGCACAGTTTCCGCACTACATATAGAACTTGAATGTCGATTAATATTATTTTTTAAAAAATACGAAGGTTTCTTTGTGTGGAAACTGTGCGTAATGCCGTTTGCTTGTCCTCTGAATTCAACCTTAACAACAGTTTCCACTGATGTGAAACCAATCTATTGCCCTTAATAAACATTGAATAATAATAAACATGGTTGTGTAACTCATTACGGTTAGAAAATAATCCTACTTAAAACCATTGTAAAAATAGCCTTTCGTGCATAGAATTAAGGTGTAGTTTCCTTGACGTAAAGTAAGAACTTATAGTTTCCTAATTATTGTACATAATTTCCCTTTTTTAAGTCACATTTGGGACGAAAATTTATTTCCTACGCACGAAACCATTGGTATAAATAGAAGTAAAATTAGAGACTACGCAGTAGAGTTGTTATTGGATAAGAAAAGTCGTACTTCTTTCTTAATCAAAATTCTATAACTAAGAATCAGAGTGCAGATCAATTTGGACGAACTAAACGAATTCTGCGACAATGGTCAACTGTTGTGTTCCGGGTTGTACAAATTACTCGTCGAAGTCAAAATCTTCAGGTGTTAGTTTCCACCTTATTCCGAAAGACCCCTCCCGTCAAAAGGCATGGATTGCTAGAATACGGAGAGAAAATCTACCTCCTCTCCAATACTGTTACGTTTGCAGCGAGCACTTTGCTCCCGATTGTTTTGAATCGGACCTGAGACAGAAACTTACACCATGGCAACCTTTAAAAAGGCGACTGAAGCGGGATGCAGTACCATCGATCTTTTCATTTGGCCCTCAACCCAGTAAAAAGCGTCTGTCTAGCGAGCATCGTACAGAGAAACGTCAGGCTGATCAAGACAAGGAGGAAGTTAGTAAAAGCATTTCTTGTTAAATTTTAATCAAGAAAAAGTTATAGCCTAAAGTATATTCTAAATATTTCTATTTTTTCTATTTTCAGCTTTCAAATATTTTAGAACAATGTTCCTCCACAAGTACAAATGTTTTCTCAGTGGTTGAGCCTGAAACAAATAACAGTTGTGATTTGGGTGCGTCTGACAGTCCTGAAGCATTGCCAACTAATTATTGCAAGCCAGAAACCAAAGATGCATCAACACAGTGTTCATTTGTTGTGAGGAGTTTACATGCCATGGAAGTCCAAACTACAATGTCGATGCTGAATACTGTGGATGCAGAGGTTCAAGTTGGGGAATCTTGCTTTGAAAGCAACACCTCAATGTATGAACAGTGCTATTCTTCTGATTTTGAAGAAGCATCATCACAGATAACAGAAGAGTCTTGTGATAATGTTCACGACGACTGGTTCTTTCAGGTGTCAGAAGACTCTACAACAGATGATGAAGCAATCCAAATTGAACCCCAAGAGGAAAAGAAATATATAGTTTTCAAGTCCTGTCTGATTAGTCTTCTTTCAAAGTGTCTTTCTTGTGGAGAGACAGTAATTGAATGTGAAGAAAACACTGTAGGTAGTTTGCTATCATTTAATCTTTTTTGTATAAATGGTCATCACACAACATGGACATCTCAACCACTCATAAGGAATGTCCCAGCTGGAAATTTGCTTTTGGCTGCATCAACTTTATTTAGTGGAAACACTTATGAAAGAATCAGCCAATTTGCATCTTTCATGAATCTCGAATTTATTGGAAAAACCAGTTTTTACAGCTTTCAAAAGCAGTATCTTTTTCCTGTTGTTGACAAAGGTTGGAAAGAGGAGAAATCAGCTGTTATTGCCGAAGCTAAGAAGTCTGGTAGTCTTAATGTGAATGGTGATGGTCGATGTGATAGCCCAGGGCATAATGCCAAGTATGGTACTTATACAATGATGGCTGACTCTGGTAAGATAGTAACTTTTAATGTTGTGCAAAGTACTGAAGTCAGTTCTTCTAATGCTATGGAGAAAGAAGCATTTGAAAGATGTCTGTCTGAAGTTGAAAAGCTAGTTCCTGTTAAGCGAATAACAACAGATAGACATGTTTCGATTGCCAGTGCTATGAAAAACAAACACCCTCATATTGATCACCAATATGATGTGTGGCATTTGTCTAAATCTGTCACAAAAAAACTAACAAAGAAGGCTAACATTAAGGGAAATGATGACTTGACCCATTGGATTAAGTCCATTTCTAATCATCTTTGGTGGTGCTCTGCAAGTTGTAACAAGAATGCAGAAGAATTGGTGGAAAAATGGAAGTCTGTCCTTAACCACATTTCCAACAAGCATTTCTGGAAGGGGAACACATATTTTCATCAATGTTGCCACCAACAATTAACAGAAAAAAAAAAGCAGAAGAAGTGGTTATCTCCTACTTCACAAGCATATATCGCTGCAGAGAAGGTGATATGTGACAAGAGGCTTCTAAAAGACCTGCGGAAGCTATCTGAGTTTTGTCACACAGGAGAGTTGGAGGTTTACCATTCCCTTTTACTGAAATATTGCCCAAAGCGAGAGCATTTTTCATTTCCTGGGATGGTAGCCCGCACTCAGTTAGCAGCATTAGATCACAACAACAATATTAAACGTGATAAAGCAGTTATTAAGTCAGGGACAAACAAAGGGCAAGACCGTTACAAAATGATTTTTGCTAAAACACAGAAGCAATGGGTTGTAAAAGCAATGAAAGAAAAGAAAGAGTACCATTACATTGATAAACTACTTGCGGAGGTTGTGAATGCATGCAAAACTGAGGAGATTGAACTTGTACATCATGGCGAGAATCTTCCAAAGAACATTTCTAAATCATGTCCACCCAGGAAAGAAGTACTTGTAAAGGAACATCAGTCTAGATTTGCATAAAATGTCAGTGGTGATGTTAGCTATGGCAATAGGTTTTGCCTTACCCATATAATATGACGTTGAATCAGTGAAGACAACTTTTGTACTACTTAAAAAATGTTCATTCTTAAATATTAACATAGCAAAACCTTTTGCTATAGCTAGTTTCACCACTGCATTACACAAACTATTCATGTAATTAATTATAGTTATATTATAACCAGTGTAATAGCCAAGCCACATTTATAATCATTTCTTTGTAAATCTGTTTTTTTTTTGTAATAAATTAATAATAATAAATGTGCATAGCATGACCTATAAATGAGCTGGCTATGCCACTTTAATATTGACATACAAAGTAATTGTAATGGGTATACCTATATCATAATAAAATACTTCATTCATTAGCATAGTGGAAGCCTTCAAATTGAAATTCCTCTGCAAGGCCAGGTGGAGGAAATGTTTCTCTAATGCGAGTAACTGCACATGATGGCAAGATGACTCTCACTTCTCTACCCAAGACACCCCAGCACCATCTTGCCAACTGTCTATATGCAATATGGCGATACAGTTTGTCTTCGGGCCCATCACATGCTACCTCATATTGCTGCTTGTACAGGTACCAAGCTGTTTGTAAAACCCACCTGTTAAGACAAACAGGCTCAAAACCAGGATGTTGTGTAATGCACAAAGGGGCTTCGGTGGTCTCATTCGTTTCTACTGCCTCTAAATTTTTGTCACAAATATTGGAAATCTCTTTGCAGCATAAACATTCCTCGTTATTATCCATTATTTGGCAGTTACCACATTGACACCTGAATATGTTAAAAGAAAGGATCTTGAAAAGTAAATGTCAAAACTTCAACAAAAATTGTATCTTACAATAAAAACTTTAAAATCTAAAGTATTATGTATGTGTGGACGTGGTCAACTTCAAAAACTGAAAACGTACTTTTGAGATAGAAACAATGGTCTAGAATAATATAACATTTTACTACACACCATTCAAGATTGTCGCGCCGAGATTCATCGTCAATATACAAAAATTCCTGTTCTTCGTTATCCACAAACTGGTGAGCTTCTTCTTGTTCATCTGCCGGCCATTCGGGCTCAAACTGATATGGCCGAATATTCTTTGTTGGATTATCTTCCATTTCACTATCGATTGATGAATTAGGCCGAGGTTCTTCCAAAAAAGCCATTATAAGCGATTGTTTTGTTTTTGTGCTAGGCTGTGCGTTATTATTTTACTTTGTTGTAAACACAACTTCAAATCGGTTTGACGATATGACGTCAAAATAATTTCCGCTGACGCTTTCTGTGCCCACGCTGCTAAGCCTCAAAACAGCTCAAATAGCGCACTTGAAGACGCGATTTTGTCAAAAATAAAATAGCTGATGTAAAAATTTCAAAAATATAGTAACCTTTGCATAAAAATGGAACTTTTAAGACCAACATTATTTTTGGGTGGAGTTCCCCTTTAACACTTCTGCCGGCATTTATATTTTCCCGCTAAAGTTTTCGCCATTATTGAAGAGCAACGCAGACATTCAAACATCAATTTTCAACGTCAAAAACTGCAGTCGAAAAGCGAAAAATATTAAGCGATTCACTGATAAAGAACTCTTCTCGAAAAACCACCATTTAAGTTCGGATCATCTGCCTGGTAAAAACCATGAATATGGCAATTTATTTTCTTTGTTGTAGCTGAGAATTGTAAATGAACAGTAAAACGGCTATAGCTTTAGTATTGACCTAACATACGAAATACAACAACGCCTTTGGTAACTCCCACTAACTAGCGCTGTGTGCTTGAGCCGGTGTTTTGATGTTTTTCCAAACCGAAACAAAAAATACAGCAAACATACGAAGTTATTGTTGATGAAAAAGCAAAAACTTCAAAAAAATCGAGTATTTTATGTATTAAAAATAACATGACGCCATTGTTGCATTGGTAACAAGATAGTCCAAGAATGACTATTTTTTTACTATAAATCGATGGTGAGCCAGGCCGCAATATCTTCTTCATCATCAAAGACGTCAAAGCGAGTTACAGAGAAACGGTATCCTTCGAAAAATCCGGCAAATAAACTTTCTAACGGAGCCTGTTTTAACAGCAGTCGGAGCCGGATTTTGCTTGGCCGGAGCGCGAGGTGAAAACGCGGAGTTTAACACAGTAAGACCGCTAAATCAAACGAATTTTCGTTTCGTCTAACAGTTCGAGTTATCGGGGTCTACTGTATTTGCAGGAACAGACAGTTAGGAGAAACTCTTCCGTTACTCATAAACACACCTTTATGTTCCAGGCCAATTCTTTTTCCACGGTGGCAGTCTTATCATTCGACCATTGCACATTATATTCCTTTTCGCTTATTTGCTCCTGCACCTATGATTATTAAATGTTAGGATTTTTTCATAAAATCCAGCCAACTTCATGAAAAATATGAAAAATAAAGAAGCATGAACACATATATTGACAAGAATACCAAGTCAAGTTTTTCCTTAAGCTTCAATGTGTCTGCGTCGTAGCGAAACGTTTCTTCAGTAAATTGCTTCTTGACTCCAAACAATTTGATCTGAAAAAAAATCCATGGATGGTCATTCGCCTCTTCCTCGATGACGAAAGAACGGAAACTTTTCGTAATGGCCAATGAACGGCGAGCAGATCTGGACATGAGAACGCCCGCCGTTAGCAGGCTGTTTTGGTTACCCCAAAAACCAATTTTGGTTACTCAAAAACCACAGTAACGAGTTTTACGCTAATTTTACATAGAGATTTCAGACCTCTTACCTCTAAATTTCTAATAGGTATTTAGTACCTAGATATTGTTGAAAAGAAACCAAAACCAAAATTTCATTGAAACCAATTCAAAGCAAACATACTGAGCTATAAAACATTGCTGTAGTTCAACAACGTACATTTCTACACCACTGAATTAAATATATCAATCGTATAATTCTACTGCACGTGTAAGCCACGTGTTACCACAAAATCTCTCGCAAAAAATCGCGTCAGGTTACGGCAAAAGTTCCTTTGCGGTAACGCAGCGGTAATATGGTTTTTTTTTACCACAATTCCGGAAAGCCAGGTCAGCACACCGCAGTATTTAGACAACATAACACAGGAAGAAGCATGCCATTATTAGAGATGTACGTTTGCAGAAGAAACAGCTCAATTTTTTTCTTATTATTTTAACCTAATATGTAATTGATATAATCAGGTGTAGACATTCCTAAAAGCTGGTTTGAGGACGAACTAGAATTCCAGTGCACGCAGCATGGCTTTTGATCGCGTCAAACCGTCCACTCGCGTAAGTACAATGTAATTGCAATATTGACAAACCGTTAAATGACCTCGAACATCCAACGACAATCTACCACCGCTCAACTGCAGCTCGTAATCATTGCCACAGGCGTTTTCAGCTGAGCTTGGGATTAGTTTTACCTGACGACATTTTTCGTTATAATGCTCAACTTTTTCAAGAACCTGCCAAAAGGCAAAACTAACAGTCGTGAGACTATCACGAAACAACTCATTTCAAACAGAGAAAACAAAAAGGACAAAGAATCTGTTCTAAGCGGTGTCCCAGTATGGACGGAGTGATGTTGTGGGGAGGGAGCAATAACTTTTAAAGACTAAAATGCTTGCCTCAATTAATAGATATGAAACCTACATAATGTACACCTTCTGTCGTTCTTAACTATGACTATTTGATAGAGTTCTGTACTATTACGGTGTTAAACCTTGACTGTTTTGCAACTTTTGTTCTGGATAGAATGTGATGGGAAATCTCATGCTATAGGGAGAAGGCACCTCGATATTAACCCCTGTATAAATTTCCCGCCAGTGGTTGTTGTCAGTAAATTTCAAATATACCTGCTCGTATTTGCGCGCATAATTCATTTCGGTCGCCCATATGTTTTCATCCAGCGAATCCCTTCTTTCCTGAAGTTTTTCCAAACTTCTCCTTTGCTTCTCAGCTTTTTGTTTCATGCGTTGCACATCAGTCGCACAAAGTTGTTGCTTTGCAAGCACTTTCTAAAAATTCCAACGAGAGAACGAAAACCTTCTTGATTCATACGATAAAAGCCTGCAATACGGTGAAAGATAAGAATATTGATCAACTGTGCAAAACCTCCAACTGCTCTTTCTCTCTTGATGTTGCTGTGTACTCCAGATCTAAGATATCAAACTTCTGTCAGTCGATATATTTTGTCAGAAGAAAATAAGTACTATACCCTACCCTTAGCCTTCGCATAATTTACAAATGGACTTATACATGGACGCAAAAATAGCGGGGGAGGGGGTGAGGCAGAAGTATTGCATGGACTATATTATACGTACGTACGTATTGAAGTGATCTATAAACATTACACAAGTAAATGGGCTTATCTACGGGTCAGCGTATAAGCGGTAGGGTTTTTCTGTGAAAGTGAGTTGAGTTTCACGATTGGGGTGACCTAACTGGACATACTCAGGATAGGGCTTGTACATGAGAGGGGTAGTTCACCCTACGCAAGTGTAAGAGGATGCCTCAAGACACCACACTGCACTTACTGAGATCATTCAATTTTTGTTTGTTCTGAATTTTTCTTTCCTCAAGTTTGAGACGATGCTTCTCGAGATCAGTGATGTAGGTGTCGAATTTAGTCCTAAGAATCGAAAACATCCCCAGTGCATGTTTCCACAAATTAATACAACGTACATGGTGGAAGCAAGATCACGGTAAATCTTCTCTTACTTGTCGAGCTCTAGTGTTCTCTTTTGTTCCACTAATGCTTCAAGCTTTGACTAGGTTAAGTATGAATATGTTAAGACTGTTAGCTACACATCTATCAACTGTGAAAAGATGGAGATAAAACGGAGGCAAAAAGGGGGAGGGTAATTTCAAAGAAAATATGAAATACAAAAGTATGTATTTATAAAAGTGGAAGCGACCCACCCCCACCAAAAGGATGAATGACAAATTTCAAACACGTAGCTCACTTTAACAAGATGCACCTTTAAAGGGATGAACGTGTATGGGAACATTTGTGGAAAATCCTTTAAATTAATTTTGCACAAATGAAGCTCCGTGCAAGAAAAATCACAGTACGAGTTTTGGCCAAATAATCTGAATGAAAATCGGAAAACCGAGCCATTCCTAGGATCGAGCCAAATTATGTAATAAATTATGTCACAGTAATTTTTCACAGTGATGGAGCTTCACCAGTGGCCAAAGTTTTGGCTCTGAACAATTTATATGAGCGATTTTCCAAAATGTTCACACATGTACGTAAAAGTACCCAACCGTTTGCGATTATTTTGCTCACACTCACATTTAGAAATAAGCAATTTGAAGTTCTCAAAATTTCACGACACAATATCTTTCCTACCGGTTCACTTTCAAGTCTCGCCAGTTCTTCCTCCAGTAGCTTGTTTTCGTGACTCAGCCCTTCGTTTTCTGGAATATGAAAATCATAAAATTGTACATTACAAAGTGACGATGCACATAATTTTTCAACAATACACATTTACCAGCAATAATTCGAGCATTAATGTTTCCTACATTAATAGAAACAGATACATGCATAAATCTTGTAGGTCACTACCAAAGGTTACAGGAATTGATGCAATGACAACTTCACTCACTCAGTTCTTCATATAGTGCTTCTGTGTACTCATCCAGATCATCTAAGTCTTGACCGTAAATAAACGCTTCGTACGCTTTCTCAAGGTAATCAAAATACAACTGCGGTAACAAGACAAAGGTGTACATAGTGAGACATTAACAGTGGCAGAAATATCTGCTGAATACAGAGATGGATCTGGAATGATCCATCATTTCGCTGACATTTACATTTCGCTTAATTGTTTGGTATATTAATACAATTCATTGGAAAATCAAGCATAAACATCCCATATATCTATGACTGTCACAGCCATATTAAACTAGGTACATTTGAAACACATGTTATCACATGTTATGGCATTCAGACTGCAAAGACATTTTGATAGAGATAAGAACTTACCTTCTCCTCCTCATTCATGGGAAACAGACATTCTTCGATGATGTCATTAACATTTTGAGCCAACTGAAAAAAAAAGAAGAAAAGGAAATCACGCTTTAAAATGTTTGGGCAAACTCATCAATCTTCAATTTCAATTTGTACAAAATTCAACCTTGACAAGTTCCATAAGCCAGTGAAGTGCACCAAGGAGCACTGGCCATGTGTGAGGTGAGCCAACATTGGATAATGATGTTTTATGAATGGTAAAGGGGTACCCTAGAGTCTTTAAAATTCTTGGTACTTCCTCGTCAGGTTTTTGTTTCAGTTTTGTATAGTTTTCCTTTGGACTGATATGGCTATAAAGGAACTGTAAAATACAACTGCAAAGTAAATTGCAAAGTTCATAGAGATTTCAGGCTCGGTAGGTCACAAACATTGTGTGAATTATGTTATACATTGATTACTAGAATGCAAATTGGAATATTTGTCATATGATAGCAATATGATGTTTTATATCAATGCTGCATCATATTAATGCTGTATTTGTTTCGATTGGATGCCCAGAAGCTGCATATAAATACTAGTATCAATTTGATTGTGAGACAGGATGTATGTTTTTCCAGAAAAAATTTGAATATATTTTCTCAAATAATACACACACTGGTCACCAACATGAAATGATTCAACAGAGATCAACATACTAACGGAAAATACTTTCAGGAACTCTTTGCTCGTTGGAATCGTCATTGTCTTCATGGAGATTGGATGCTGGTAATTGTTGACCGAAAGAAACTGAACAGACAAAAACAATTCAAAAAACTACTTTTACCATAATGCTGACATTTTAGCAAATACCTGCAATATGTCTTGCCTTTCTTTATGCTGATAAGCTGAAAGATAAATGGCAATACAAGTAACTTAACTGATGAAAATTGCTGTTTGTCAAATTGAAGATAAAGCATAATCTCACATTTATCACTAAGCGGTCTTGAGTCTTTTATCTGCATGTACGATTCACGTCCATATTGACTTGATTTTCTGCTAAAATTCAAATGAAAAAAGCACACATAACTCCCACAGTATTCACAAGTAGAAGTTCCTGTAGCACCAAGAGATAGTAAGCCAACAAAACAAATAGTTATGTTAACAACGTACTATACTGCTAATATACGTTATGGTACAAACATTTTAAATCCCATAAAGGAAACCTGCTAGCTCCAAAAGATGTTTTCGGACGCGATATGCCTGACAACCTTGCACCAGTATTGGAAAGACGATCGCCCTGACTAATCGACGATCTAGATTGCTTTTCTTTGGTCGGAATTCGGCTTCTATTGCCTTGATTTGTCGAGCCAGAAGTTGAACTCCTCATTTTATTCATTTTTTGTACGATTCGCTGAAGTAAAAAGCCAGATAACCGTCTCTCATGTACCTCGATAAACAAAAATTTCAAATTCCAAAATGCCGCTCTTTTTATTTTTATCGTCACCAGGCCACGACCAGGCCTTGGCTTGCTCGGAGCAGTGTTGCCACGCCTTGGGATTTCTCCCAAGATCTTGGGATTTTCTGCTCAAGCTTGGGATCTTGGGAGTTTTTTTCAAAATATTGTAAAATCTTGGGATATTTTGTTTAAATATTTTATAGGTAATATTATCTCGTATTATGAATTTATAAATAAGTGTGACACGTGTTTATAAATAAGCTTGACAACCTTCACACCCTCCCACTGAAGATGCCGTCTGAATCTGATGTTTATTTGAACATAATATAAGTTCTTTTACCGTGGATATTCTTTAAATTAATGTACGTGTATTCCATAAAACGCTGAAGCATTTCTTTCGATCGAAAATATTATTAATTGGTATTGCATTTCTTGGTTGTCTTTACTACTGAACAGTAGAAATCAGGAGGGAGTGAATATGGCAATAGGGCGTTTCACGAACTATATTTGATCATTTCAACACTTATATACATAAACTATCGATTTTTATGAAATTAAAATTAAAACAAAAATCAATTCATTCCAGTCTTTACATTATGCGTTCATTTGTGCGGATAATCGTGTACCCATGACAAAGGGGTCCCCCAGAAAAGATTGTGGGGGATCTTGGGATATTTTAAAGGATCTTGGGACTTTTTGCTGAAAATCTTGGGAATTTGTAAAATAGTGAGTGGCAACACTGGCTCGGAGTCTCGGACGTTGGAAGAAGTCAAGGCCACATTTGCAAAATTTGTATTTTATGGACTCCTACCTCTTAATGAAACTTTTGTATTATGCCTTTTCAGGTTTTTTCGAGTTGTTGCATATAGACAATTTACAAGAATGGTACATGGCATTCTTCGAGACAAAAGAATTCCACTTCCAGCTTGTGATTAATATGTTATTCGAAAAACTTTTAATTTAAAAATAAATAAACACTTTGCAGGGTATGAAGAGGACAATTTGTAAAATAGCATTACATTCTATATTATTTTAGGTGCTGTTTGCATGAGCCCAGCTAGTAGGGATTCAGTGCAGTGTGAAATGATTTAAGCCACTCTTGATATATTGCATCTTCGATTCACACTTATACTTGTTATACAAAACATACAAAATTACAATTCCTTTCTCTTTATTCATTCCATGCAGTCAATTCACATTTCACTGAATCCCAACTAACTGGGCTCATACCACCAGGTCCTAAAAAACTGGTTACTTTCGGTTTTTTGGACAGTTCATTATATTCTTATGGCCTTTCATCCAATTCTTGCACACAGTGCATCGAGGTGCTGCTCTCTCATTTCTCTGATTAGTGATTATTTCTTGGACAGGTGATACTTCAGCTATATCAAACAATAAAGTGAGTCAGTTCCAAAAAAAATAAGATTCAAATTAACTCAAAGAAAGTTATGCCTTTTTGTAAAACCTGGCTTAGTTGGGGGGAAATGTACAGCTGGCATGCTTTGTCTTATTGCTTTTTTTGAGATAGCTTCACTTTTTGATTGCTTTTCCAACATGGAATTCATTGGCAATGGAGTCATTTGAAAAGATCACCTTTGGCTTTTCTCAATGTTTCCTCATCAATGAGTGCAGAGCACAACACTTGATATATATCTTCAACATACCCTGGAGGAGCAATGTTGATGCTACTAGTTGATGATTCTTTATTGCTGCTGTTGTTGTCATACTCATCTATGAAATAAGATACTTCAGTAATGCGCAGCTACACAAGGTTGATCAAGTCCATATTTCTTAGTAATTAACTTCAATAATTTTCCAGGGGTGCATGCAAGCTTAGTTGGTAGTATTGTAGAAATTGAGGTTATTAAACATGGCTGATCCTATTACGTTGGCAAATCTTCTCTTGACCTAGAATCATATATGAAATAAAATTAACAGGCGTATTATCTTAAAAAACACTTACCCACTGCAAGCATATCCATATTAGAACTGCTTGCATAAGTTCTGCTACACTGAAGCTTATGTTTTGCCCCAAGCCATAAGTTCCTGTAACGACGTTTCTCTTTTTCAAGTTTTAAACAATTTTGGCATTGTAATTCACATAGCACAGCTACTTCCTAAATTAGAAACAACAGCAATACATATACAAAACAATAATTTACGTTATCCTTTACAGCACATGTCCAAAACTGATCATGATTATGATCATGATTATGATCATGTAATCATGTAATTGTTAATGTATTAAAAGCATGAACGCTAACTCCATTTTTTTTTACTACGCTCGGCAATCATATGGAAATATGCGTTCACGACCTCGTCGTTAAGCCTTGCTTGAGGTCACAGCGTTATGATGTCAGCTCTAGTTACCCGACCAATAGAAAGCTCCACGAGAAGCTCATTCGATGCACCATGACCCAGGGCCTTGTCAATCTAAAAATGGGAAACATTCATGCGGGATTGTACCGCAATGTGGAATATATAGCGAGCGTGAATGATTACGATTGCAACACACATGCAGAGTTAAGGATATAGCATGACAGGTTGGGATTGAAACAAACATGCAGAGTGAAGGATATAGCACCACAGGTTGAGGTTGAAACAAACATTCAGAGTGAAGGATACAGCATGACAGGATGGGATTGAAACAAACATGCAGAGTGAAGGATATAGCATGACAGGTTGGGATTGAAACAAACATGCAGAGTAAAGGATATAGCATGACAGGTTGGGATTGAAACAAACATGCAGAGTAAAGGATATAGCATGACAGGTTGGGATTGAAACAAACATGCAGAGTAAAGGATATAGCATGACAGATTGGGATTGAAACACACATATTTTTTCTATTTCCAACCCTAGTGTAACACCAAACGAACCAAAAAAAAGTTCCACAGTTTTGACATGCAACCTTTGTTTTTTAATTTCCTAATGTGTAGATATTATTTACAATTGTTAATCTATTGTTCACATCATTGGGATAAAGACTGTATATAGCTAGCTAATTTGAAAAATAAAGCATTGTTTTACCCATGCACCAAAATATATCAAAATAAATTCATCAAATGTTCAAGTGGTAAATTAAAGGGATATTTCTAGAGTTTTTTATTGAAGTCATACATCACAATTTTGATTACAAAAGGAGGTAATTCAATTGAAACTACAGAAAAATACAATAAAAAATGGCCAAAGAACAATTCAAAATAATATTTTCTAGTTCCATTTTATAATCAGTTTATTATACGTGTATACCTGAGTGATATCTGTGGAAGCAAGGTTTTATCTTCCTTGTTGATACTGTCTTTGCAATATAAAGATATATATGTTGAGATGACACTTAATTTTCAAATTTTATTTGAAAAGACATGAAAACATCTATTCATGAGACATATCAACATGATGAACATAAACATATGTACATATAATGGTGTAAATGATTCATGTAATCATTTTATTTCCTTCAGAATCAGATACCTTATACTCCAACCTACAATTGCCATAGAAGGTACACAGGCACAAGAGGTCAACCGCGACTCGAAATATCTAAGAGATTAGTAGAATGTCTAAGGGAATTGCACTTTTCTTGGACTAGAATCGCTGAATTATTGGGTATATCAACAAAAACATTACAACGAAGACGTGTAGAGTTTCAAATTGATGTAGAAGAATCTTCGTCTACCATAAGTGACATTGAACTTAGAGAAACAATGCAAGAGATTATGAGTGTTACTCCAGGAATAGGACAAACACGTATGGTAGGTGCACTGAGGAGCCGAAATATAAGGGTCCAACGGTCACGTGTGAGGACATTAATGCGTGAATTGGATCCAGTTGGAAGAGCACTTCGTTGGCGGGGAGCAATTCGCAGAAGAAATTACAATGTGGATTGTGCAAATGCTCTGTGGCACATCGACGGGAACCATAAAATGATTCGCTGGCGAATGGTGGTTCATACATCCATTGATGGCTACTCCAGGTTGATACCATATTTAAGCTGTGCTACTAACAACAAAGCAAACACAGTTTTAGAATTATTCCAAGATGCATGTCGTTCATATGGATTACCTTCAAGAGTGAGATGTGATCATGGACTTGAAAACGTGGGTGTTGCTCGAATGATGTTGGAGTGCCGTGGAACAAACAGGGGAAGTATCATCACAGGTGCTTCAGTTCACAACCAACGAGTTGAAAGGCTTCATAGAGATGTTACTACTGGTGTTCTAAAGGCTTATATTGATCAATTTAACATGATGGAACGTTCGGGTCTTCTTAATCCTGCCAATGAGGTACATCTTCTTGCACTACAGCTTGTTTTTGTCACAGTCATTAATCAGTCCTTACAAGAGTTTGTTAATCAATGGAATCACCATGGAATCAGTACTGAAGGAGGGCTATCGCCTTTGCAACTTTGGTCAGAAAGCATTGTAAGATGTGCAACACAAAGCAACTCAACTTTAGACAATGTACTATCAAGCAATGAAGTTGAATCATATGAAATAGAAGCACGTGATGAAATTGAAAATGTAGCTGGTGTGGTTGTACCTGAAACAACACTAAATTTAACTGAAGATCAGTTTGCCTATATTGCAGCTTTAGCAAGTCAAAACAACAACTTATTTGACAAAGTTCACACGTACATGCATGTTGTGAATGCCATTAACGCAATGTTTTAAGAATTTTTAGAAGAGTGAACCACTTTCATAAAGAAAATGTTATTACCTTTTGTAAAATAAATTTGTATGATTTTTGTCTGAGCATGCACTTAGTAATTAATTTCAACTTTAATGTTTTCATGAAAACGCACATGGTAATATACTCGATTGAATATGGTGGTGGTATAAAATATATAATTGCTTTTGAAATGAAAAGTTCGACCTTTTCTCGGTCTTACTGTACAATTTCATAGCCTCTAATACTGTTATATTAAACATCTGAATACATAATCCCATTTTAGAATTTTTCTTAGGAGGGTGCTGGGGAATTTTTTTGGAAGGTGTGCTTCCCCCTGCCACCCCCAGATAATCTGCCCCTGATGATCATGCATGTCAATGCAATTGAAGTATATATCAAGTCACACAGTAACTATGTGTAAGATTGCTCTGTAATATTCATGTAATAATATATGTAGATATGCCTGACTAATTTCAACAATTTGTCAAGCAATGTCGACTATTACAGTAAGAATTGGCAACAAAAATTAAGTTTGCCATCTATGTTAGGGAATACATTTGAAACATTGGAAACTCTTTCAATTTCCGAGTAAATACATTGAAATAAAAATAACTTATTAAGCAACAATCAAAATGCTTTTGCTATCTTGAATTTGTACTTTCATTAACAGATATGATGTAACAACAAGGGTAAAATGACATGATTCTTCTAAAGCAGCGACCTTCTTCATGGCAAGGCTATTTTTGCAAATTTCATAATTTCTTGTCTGCTTATGATGTCGCTTATTAAAAATAATGACTACGTAAATCCAAGAATTGTTATTTTTATTGCCAATATCTTAACTGAACTAGAAAAATTTAACAAAAGATAACATTTAAAAAATGTTCCAAAACTTTAACAATTAAACACTAACAATACTTAAAACTAAAACGTAACATTTCATCAAACTATATTTGTTGCTATATTCTTATGTAGTCTATGAATGCCTACTTCTACATTCCTACGGAGAAGTAAATGACTGCTTAGATGACTCAAGAACAGCTTTTAATGATGCATTGAATGACTTTTGATCAATAAGCTGGTTTGGAAGAGTAACACTAAATAGGCAAGTAGAAGCAAAAAACGAAGTGGCATTATTGAATTTTACTTTTATCTTACCTAATCCAAAATTTGGCAGTCTGGTGGAACCTGTAGTAAAAATCAGAAATTTTTCAAGAATTGGATGATCTGCATTAAGAATAAATTGCTGCAGATTATTAGCAATTGTTGACTCGCATTCATTTAACACATCTGGGAACTCAAGAACATCAACCACTGCTGATGGGCTCATTTCTTGTTCACTGCATGGAACAAATAGTTCTTGAAACTTGTCTGGGAATTCTTTCATTTTATCTCTAAATCCAAGTGTATTCAATCCTTCGCAATTTGGTCAAGAACAATCTTTCGCCGCCAATGACATCATGGATGATTAGTAGTTGAATAATCTTCCTTTTATTTTCATTCTGGTATAAAATTACAATACATAAAAAATAAACAAAAAGCTGATAAATAAAGGGCAAAAATTCATAAACTATGCATGTGTCACAGACCAATGATTCTTTGTGCTTATGGTCACGTTTTATGTTTCAAATCCAATTGCATCATATTAAGTAATATACCATGGCTAAGACAATGGACATATAAATCATCAAAGATGCGTAGCATGACTACCTATTTAGTTTCAAGTATACAAAGGATCACTAGCATCATACTTATCATTATTTAGTTAAGAAAAATAACAAGTGAATGCAGACACCATAATGCTTTTTAACTAAAAAATATCTGAAAAAAATCACATTATACATACAGTTAACATTTCTGTAAGGCCACATTCAGACATGATGTTGAGACACTCATCCTGATCTAAGTTTTGCACATCATCAGCATCATCTATCTACAATACATATACAACAGAAATCACAACATTGCAATGATAGAGTTGTTAGATCAATTACTAAAATAATTCTAAGTTAATACAATTGAAATTATTTGTCAAACTTAGATGCATTAATGCTCAATAGTTTGATATATTAAGTGGCAGGGTGCGGTGCATCCTGACATTTTACTTTACTTTGCTAACACAATGCGCCTTAACTTGTTTAAGAGGGCTTTTGCAGCTTGACAGGTTAACAGAAGTAATGTATCAGCTATTTTAGATACTGAGAACCAATTAAGCACTGCATCCTGATATTTTCTCAACCCTATGTAATCCCTCATAATTGCTTTGTATACCATGAATGACCTGCTACACTATTATCAGTTAAAGCCGAGGTTTTATAATTTTTGCTTAAACCATGCAAAACAATGCGTAATAGGCATATCACCTGATCAATGAAATTCTTTATGTGTGCAGTACATTCTCCAATGTTTGCAGTTCTCATAGCCAGTTCAAAATTACCAGTGGAAAAATATCTGTACACCGAAGGACTGAATATCGGAAAACCAGGTCCACCTTGCAAAATACTATGGACAATAATTTTTCCGATATATTTCATAATTCCTGACGCAACAACACCAGCATTATATACTGGACTTTGGTAGGCATCACCTTCAAAAAACATTTCACTCACTTTATTGAGCAAATTTGTAAAAAACTGCCTGGCAACCCCTCCAGTATCAACTGCTGGTTGTCCTTTGTAAATAACTCTCAATGGTTTCCTTTCATCAAAATTGGGATCTTTATAATAGGACATTGCATCACTAAAAAGGTCCTCCTCCTCAACTTTTAATTTTTCTTTTTCTTTACATAGTTATTTTGAAAGATCTTCAAGTATAGAATTTAATGTCGCCTCTTCAGACAAAGAAGAGACCTTGAATAAGAACTTCATCATCAGTATCTTCATTAATTGATAATAATTGCTCGTTGCTGTTTGCAGAAAGTGCCAAAGCTGCTCTATCTACAGTCCCACTTACTTCTAAAGCATGACGTAACACATCATCATCCTTGTTTGGAAACATTTCTCGTAAGGTAGCTTCACTCCCTTTATTACTTGTTATAGACGAAGAGCATGGCTCATTGTTATTGAAAACTTGCTCTTGACTGGAACCTAAAAAGCTTGGCATATCCAAAGATGTTTCAGAAAATGTTTCTGTTCCTGGACTAAATGTACCTTCATCATCATCGGGAAGATCCTCTTTTGGTCTTATATAAATACTTCCTTGTCCGGAAAGGCTTAAAACTCGAGCAGAAGTGAATTGAACACCTCCTGCCAGTTTTGGAGTGACAATTTGACCATAGCAAGATTTGACAAAGTCAATATCAATATTATTTTCTTCTAGGATAGGAAACCATTGATATATTTTGTTTTTCAGTTCAAACTCGTCCCAAGACTTGTCAATTGGGCATGCATGTACTACAAATCCTCTATTTTCAAGCTGAGTGACATCTTGTTTGATGAGTTGGTACTGCTTGAGATGTGGAAGATGGAAGTAGGACAAGATCTTTGTGAACAATACAATGTTTCTTTAACTTTTTTGATGGTGGTCTTTTTATTTTCTTTGATGAAGTAGTTGATGAAAGTGTTGGAAACGACCGTCGAAGAGCCGCAGGTACATCTGCACTGCTTCTTTGCCCACGTGTCATTGCAATATTATTTGTGTTTGAATTTGGGCAGTTTGAAATGGATTGACTCAGTCTGTTGGACGGAAGACTTGGTCGATTTAGGGGTAGAGAAGTTACGGACAAAGAATTTCCTTCAATATTTCCCCCATCTTCCTGAGTCAAAGTTGCCTGAGAATTTGATTCTATCAGACGACGTTCAATTGTCAAAGTATTTCTATCATCCAAATTATCCAGAAGATTACGCGCCTCCTGAGCAATATTTGATAAAGCAGCCCGAAAGTTTCCAGTATTTTCAGCCATGTAGTGAGAGTTTATTTTGATTGAATTATTACGTTTAAAGTCGAGATAGCACGATGTCGAATGCAAACATGTTGTCAATATGGCGGCGTCAAAATCAAAACAATACACTTCTCTAAAAACCTGGGACCTGGGCACTAATATATTTAAATTCATATGAAATCCAGAGTGGGATCGCAAAGCATTATGCAACACGATATAAAAAGTTCGCCATACCGTATATGAAAATTGGCATACGATGTAAAAAGTTCGCCATACCGTATATGAAAAATGGCATACGATGTAAAAAGTTCGCCATACCGTATATGAAAATTGGCATACGATGTAAAAAGTTCGCCATACCGTATATGAAAATTGGCATACGATGTAAAAGTTCGCCATACCGTATATGAAAATTGGCATACGATGTAAAAGTTCGCCATACCGTATATGAAAATTGGCATACGATGTAAAAGTTCGCCATACCGTATATGAAAATTGGCATACGATGTAAAAGTTCGCCATACCGTATATGAAAATTGGAATACGATGTAAAAGTTCGCCATACCGTATATGAAAATTGGCATACGATATAAAAAGTTCGCCATACCGTATATGAAAATTGGCATACGATGTAAAAGTTCGCCATACCGTATATGAAAATTGGCATACGATGTAAAAGTTCGCCATACCGTATATGAAAATTGGAATACGATGTAAAAGTTCGCCATACCGTATATGAAAATTGGCATACGATATAAAAGTTCGCCATACCGTATATGAAAATTGGCATACGATGTAAAAGTTCGCCATACCGTATATGAAAATGGCATACGATGTAAAAGTTCGCCATACCGTATATGAAAATTGGCATACGATGTAAAAGTTCGCCATACCGTATATGAAAATGGCATACGCTGTAAAAGTTCGCCATACCGTATATGAAAATTGGCATACGATGTAAAAGTTCGCCATATCGTATATGAAAATTGGCATACGATGTAAAAGTTCGCCATACCGTATATGAAAATTGGCATACGATGTAAAAAGTTCGCCATACCGTATATGAAAATTGGCATACGATGTAAAAGTTCGCCATACCGTATATGAAATTTGGCATACGATGTAAAAGTTCGCCATACCGTATATGAAAATTGGAATACGATGTAAAAGTTCGCCATACCGTATATGAAAATTGGCATACGATATAAAAGTTCGCCATACCGTATATGAAAATTGGCATACCATGTAAAAAGTTCGCCATACCGTATATGAAAATTGGCATACGATGTAAAAAGTTCACCATACCGTATATGAAAATTGGCATACGATGTAAAAAGTTCACCATACCGTATATGAAAAATGGCATACGATGTAAAAGTTCGCCATACCGTATATGAAAATTGGCATACGATGTAAAAAGTTTGCCACGTATATGAAAATTGGCATACGATGTAAAAAGTTCACCATACCGTATATGAAAATTGGAATACGATGTAAAAAGTTCGCCATACCGTATATGAAAATTGGAACGCTATAAATTTTGACGATACGATACAAGAAGTTTCGAACGTATATGAAAAGTTTCGCATATATTTTTTAGATTTGCCTCGAAGTATATAAAGTTTGCCACGTATAATTGTAAGTTTAGAATAAAGTCCAATTTGGCGCCCCATAAAAATTCACGATTAAAAGAAAGTGGAATAGGTAAATACCTGTCAAGAATAAGTAGCTATAATCATTATAGTGTTATATGTAACGGTTGGTGTTATACTTATAGTATATAATGCATTTTGACTAGAATAATACATGTCTTTAGACGACAAAAGCAAATGAATGTTACTCCAGACTTTCATGGGGGATTTTTCACACTCATATAACGTGATAAACTGTATTAAATGTTTTAAAAGAGAATTTGTGATTGTCAATATGTCCTTTTGTAGTAGTTTTTAAAAAATGTACACTAGTCATAAGTCATTCCCTACATCCAATTTGGACACGTTCTAGGTTTTTTTGACTCATTGTTAGCTTTAGTTTAGATTCCTCTCATAGAACTTATACACCAATGACCAAAATGGCCACAATTTGAAAAAAACTACATTTGATGTATCAAGCATGAAATGAAATACATGGAATACATCTTCCTATTAAAATTATTAAATATGCTGCTTAAGTAAATTTGAGCAACTCTTTGATTTTGTGGTTCTAGATTCTATGGCTAATGATGAGTACCCACTAAGCCATGTTTTCTGTACTAAGTGTCAGAGAATTTTCTTATGGGAAATCAAAAATTTAAAATATTCATTGATAAGGTATCAATGAATATTTTAAAGTTAAAATACTACTTTAACATATATAATACATTCAACATATGTATGCATACCATGATGGTAGTAATTTCAGATATGATATCATACATACATACTATGTGAGTATCATAACGTGTGTCAGTATAGGAAGTAATGAATGAACAACAAAGAACGAAAACTGTCTTTACTACCTAAAATATAAACTAAGATAACGTGTGTCAGTGTAGGAAGTAATGAATGAACAACAAAGAACGAAAACTGTCTTTACTACCTAAAATATAAACTAAGATAACGTGTGTCAGTGTAGGAAGTAATGAATGAACAACAAAGAACGAAAACTGTCTTTACTACCTAAAATATAAACTAAGATAACGTGTGTCAGTGTAGGAAGTAATGAATGAACAACAAAGAACGAAAACTATCTTTACTACCTAAAAAATAAACTAAGATAACGTGTCAGTGTAGGAAGTAATGAATGAACAACAAATAACGAAAACTGTCTTCACTACCTAAAACATAAACTAAGATAACGTGTGTCAGTGTAGGAAGTAATGAATGAACAACAAAGAACGAAAACTGTCTTTACTACCTAAAATATAAACTAAGATAACGTGTGTCAGTGTAGGAAGTAATGAATGAACAACAAAGAACGAAAACTGTCTTTACTACCTAAAATATAAACTAAGATAACGTGTGTCAGTGTAGGAAGTAATGAATGAACAACAAAGAACGAAAACTGTCTTTACTACCTAAAATATAAACTAAGATAACGTGTGTCAGTGTAGGAAGTAATGAATGAACAACAAAGAACGAAAACTGTCTTTACTACCTAAAATATAAACTAAGATAACGTGTGTCAGTGTAGGAAGTAATGAATGAACAACAAAGAACGAAAACTATCTTTACTACCTAAAAAATAAACTAAGATAACGTGTCAGTGTAGGAAGTAATGAATGAACAACAAATAACGAAAACTGTCTTCACTACCTAAAACATAAACTAAGATAACGTGTCAGTGTAGGAAGTAATGAATGAACAACAAAGAACGAAAACTGTCTTTACTACCTAAAATATAAACTAAGATAACGTGTGTCAGTGTAGGAAGTAATGAATGAACAACAAAGAACGAAAACTGTCTTTACTACCTAAAATATAAACTAAGATAACGTGTGTCAGTGTAGGAAGTAATGAATGAACAACAAAGAACGAAAACTGTCTTTACTACCTAAAATATAAACTAAGATAACGTGTGTCAGTGTAGGAAGTAATGAATGAACAACAAAGAAAGAAAACTGTCTTTACTACCTAAAATATAAACTAAGATAACGTGTGTCAGTGTAGGAAGTAATGAATGAACAACAAAGGACGAAAACTATCTTTACTACCTAAAAAATAAACTAAGATAACGTGTGTCAGTGTAGGAAGTAATGAATGAACAACAAACAACGAAAACTGTCTTCACTACCTAAAACATAAACTAAGATAACGTGTGTCAGTGTAGGAAGTAATGAATGAACAACAAAGAACGAAAACTGTCTTTACTACCTAAAATATAAACTAAGATAACGTGTGTCAGTGTAGGAAGTAATGAATGAACAACAAAGAACGAAACTGTCTTTACTACCTAAAATATAAACTAAGACTAGAAGTTGCTATCGCAAGGGGGGATTGCTGCTCCGACCCCTTATCTGGAAAAATTGCAGGGTTCAGAACGTAGTGACATCCATTGGAGCCACCTCTGTGTACAGCATTCTAAGTGGTTTCATACATACGTTATGATTGGGTGATTAGAATGATAGACAAAGAATTTTACATGCGTGTCTCTAACTTTTAGCTTTGCGTTGGCGAGGTTTATTTCGCCATGTTTAGAGTTTTCTTTCTATCTGAAGGCCTGTTTACACGTTCCGATTTGTCAGATCCTATTGTTTTGGGTCCGTCTTTTGATTGCTTGTTCACACGGTCAGATAGTTGTGTTGATATATAGATACGTTTAGATATTTATAATATTGAGGGCAGCCATTTGTGTTGTCCATTTATCGATATATTTGCGTAGTTTTCTTCTTGTTTCCAAGTCTTTTTCAAACATATATAATTTGGCTAGTCATTATATTCTAGGCTATTTCTATCCTCTTTTTTAGATTGACGGATCCGACTGTCGGAGACTAACTTTATACCTTACTTGTATTAAAATTCGAGTCGTACTCATTTTCGCTCAGCTTTAAATTCGCGCGATTTAATTTCGCGCACTTTGTTGACAATTATTCGCGCAGCTTTAAATTCGCGCAAGTAGTTTTATGTGCTCGTTCTTTTTGGTTTGTTCAAAAGAACTATTAATAATTAACGCATTTATATTGAGCTTTCTTTATTAAGAAATACCTCAATATTTATCAAAAAAGCGATTTGGGGCCTCAAAAATGGCTTCAAAATAAAGCGTGAGTTCACTATCCCGATTTTGCAAGTTCTTTTTTGAATATGGGGGCAATATAGAAGCATGTGTGTGTGACATCAAATTTCGTCGATCCCCATTACCACAAGGAGGCTTGGAGATTCCTATTACCCTAACAGTCATGCAGAACAATGCAAGTTTTAGGATATACAGCAAAATGCAGGCATTCGTGACGGAATACTACGTAGAACCTGAGAATATCCCGACTGAAATTGTACAGGATGAAAATGAAGACATTTTTGATTTTTAATGTTACCAGGACAACTAAAAACATATGTCAATATGTATATGCGTTAATAAAACAACTGATTTGCATAACCAACAATGAATGTCTCATATAACACTACAAGGCTTTTCGCGCGGATTATAATTCGCGCAGTACTAAAATTCGTGCACTCAGCGCTGCGCGAATTTTAATACAAGTAAGGTATGTGCTCACACGATCCGTTTTTAGGATCTGACAAAACCGGATCCGACAAATCGGATAGAGTGAACGGGCCTTTCAAACGTGCCATACCTTATTTGGTATATATGCAAACAAAGGCACGCGTTCTGAAAGTCGACGGTTGATTTCCGGCGAAAAATAGCTCCCGTGCTTTACATCTTATTTCATTTCACGTTTCAAATAATTTTAAAGATAAATTCATTACCATTTCGAACGAAAACAATTTTTTGATTCTTTTAAACGTCTTGATGGTTTTGATTCTTTTGAGTCTTTAAATTGCTTTTTGATTAAAAGTATGATACTTTGTTTACTCAAACGATCGATCAAACGCATGTTTACAAACGTAGAAGCGGACTATATTATAAAACTGTAGTTTTGTTTCCATTATTTCCTTTATAACATTTTGATAGATCCTTTTTCCGATGATTCTGTGCGACTGCGATAAAATGATGAAAAGTTATCGCAAAGGGCAAACGTTTCATCGTATTCATAATTCATATTTCATGGTTGAACTCGCACCATGCGTTTAAATTATTTTTGACGTTTTGTTAAATCCACACCGATATTTCAAGTAATAATAAAAGCTCGAACAAAAATAAATACATGCTTACACTACATTTTTCTCACCGTGCGATCATAGAGTGCAAGATAAAAAATGTGAACCGAGCTGGCTAAATACGGCACGGTGAATCCATTTCATGTGTTTTTCGCCAAACGAGATATGTGTAATTGATGTCGGTAATCACTCGATTTTGGTATCTACTGTATAACGTTGTTTAGGCCGCATATTTATTCGGATTCCAGACATTTAAAATCAAAGAGAAACTGACAGGAGTTCCGAAAGGTTCTACCTCATTGTGATTGTTCTTCCCCCCCTCATTCCGTAAAAATCCCCCCCGGAAATGTTAACAGACAGACACAAATCGAGATTTTACCTCTATATAGGTCGAGTAGAGGAATGGGCCGACACATGTCAAGACTAGTGTGCTGCCACGCTGATGCGTGGCAGCAATAACGTGTGTCAGTGTAGGAAGTAATGAATGAACAACAAAGAACGAAAACTGTCTTTACTATCTAAAATATAAACTAAGATAACGTGTGTCAGTGTAGGAAGTAATGAATGAACAACAAAGAACGAAAACTGTCTTTACTACCTAAAATATAAACTAAGATAACGTGTGTCAGTGTAGGAAGTAATGAATGAACAACAAAGAACGAAAATTGACAGTGATAACCTGTACCAGTGTTTAGTGAACGAGCATAGAGCACTGACTGACAAATTGACGTCACTATTTTTTAGGGAATTGAAAACATAGTGCTCATGCTGCTAAACGCTGAAAGTGATATTAACGCCAAGCAGTCTCTAAGTGGAGAAGCACCTCTTATCAAGGTTTGACTTCAAACTCTGTTCATTACCATATGCCTGAGCTGCATTGAAATTACGGGAGTAAAACAGTGTTAAAATTACGTGTTAAAATTAAAATGGGAAAAAGTTATGATAGCCAAAGTTCAATAACGAATGTAAAAACAATGTGTGTAATGAAAAGAGATATTTCATGTATTAATTTAAAAATGACGTTCACCTTGGTCCTCGAATCTTATTAAAGATGTTTCTTTATTAAGGCGATCCCATTGTATTGGAATGCAATACTTCTCCGCGCCGTTTTTTTCTCGCTTTAGGCAGCAACAGTTAATTAGTATTCTCATTTGAAAGCCTTGTTTTTGTATTAAAATGAGCTGAAACATTGCAGTTAACAATTGCTACATGATAGCAACTACTGTCATGTAATATCATTTTTATATTGTAATTTCATATATAATTAATTAGAACGTTATCTAGAAGCTTGCTTGCATGCGCTAGAAGCTTGCTTACATGCGTAAACACTTAAGAACCGCAACCGCATTTGTTGTTATTGTGGTTAACTATATCTTGCTGTAACATACTGTATTGCGTATGGGATGTAGGTCACAAAACCACAATACTTCCCATTAGATATTAGATATATATATCAGTAGTTTAGACCACTGAGTACAACCTACGAGGACAACCTACGAGCACAAGCTACGAGGAGACAAACTTAGGAGGCATAGCCTACTGAAGTAGGTTGACAAGCTACAATCTACCAGACAACTATCTTGGCTTCTGTGCCATAACTATCTTTTGGCTTCTGTGCCTTTAATCTATTTGGAAAACTATTGTGAGTCATTGTTGGACTCACGAACGCTCAAGAATAAAGACTCGCGGTTGTACTCAGACAGAGGAGATACGTTTTACTCATACTTATTGATATTATTATTAAGACACTCATCTACTTTAATATTTACGCTTTATTAATAAATTGTTTGAGAAATATAACTGGTTCACACTATGTTTGTTGCGTGTGGAAATAGAACCAAAATTATATGTTTGTAAATGATGATCGTCCAGGTTAATAAAGTCCTGAGAAGGACTGTTTTTGATGTTGTTGACTGACGTTTCGACAACCTTAGCGGTAGTCATCTTCAGAGTCAAATCTTACCATGCACGTAACAACAATGTTGTGATTCAAGAAAGAAGCTTGAACAACATTTTTAACAAAGTGCTAGGAAAGATTTCTTAATATGCTTGTTTTGATCACACCTCGACAAATTTGTGCATGTTGAGCCATTTATTCGGGCTGTGGTTGGTAGATGGCAAAAATTACGATCCTTCATTTTGCCTCTTTATTTAGGCTAGCATGAATGGACATTATTCTGTGGTCGCTGTGTTGCTTGTACACGGAGCTGATTGTCAAATGAGAAGTTTATCCGGTCTGACCGCCGCCCAAACGGCGGCCGAGTGTGGATACTTTGATATCCGAGATCTTATTGAATCGCATAACAAGAGGTGGTTTTCACTTGTGAATTTTATAGTGCTAAACGATTTCAACAGATTTTACAAAGAAAGTCAAATCTGTTGAAATAATACATTTTTTATTTTTGCTTGTGGCTCTTTGGCTCTTGTTTGGAAAAACGTTTTTATCGAAGTGACAAAACGTATTGCAATCGAAGATCTTGCCGTGAAGATCATCCCAAAATGTTAAGCAATAGCAAAAGCATGTAAAAACGAACTTGTGAGAAAAAGTTTCATTGCTTTTATTCTAGTATATTTTTTGTTACAGATATGACATTCATCAGCTTTTTTAAAGTCTTCTTCATCATAAGAGGTCGTTTTTAATGGTTCATTAAAGTGGGTTTTCATAATATTTTTACAATATTTAACTTCTTTTAACATAGCTTCCATAAATTTGTAAACAGCCTTTTCACCTCTATATATTTGAATTCGTTTATTGAATTTATCATCATAACAACAAACAATTTTGTATCCATAACCACAGTCAGTATGTTTCTGATAGTCTTCTGTATACGTTTTTTTATTATTTTGGTTACAACCAGATATCTTTTCTGCTAGAGCCTCAAAATCAGCATAAATAACAAATAATACTGGTTGTTGCTAATGATAGTTGTTGAATTTCAGTATGTTATTATTTTTATCAGGCATTCTTATTGATTGTATACCATTTATTAATATACAGTTTTCTATATGGTTATTTAATATTTTTTCACTACTAAAGCATTGGAGGCAGCGCATACAAAAGTGTTTTCTTTCTTTATGCTTTTTTTGATTGTACATAAATTTATTAAAATCTTTTATTAATACATAATGTTTGTTTTCATTATCAGTTATCAATAGTAGTTCTATATGGTCTTCAAATTGTTCTTTTGATATGAATAATGGATATGGTTGTTAATCTTCATAACCGAAAACGTTAATGTTAATTCTGTTTTGCTTTTCGATTTTATTATAATGTTTAACAGTCACTGGAAATTCAATCCCAGAGTAGTCTAATTTGTTAATATATTCCTTATCAGATTTTTTAATTCTCTGTGGGTCTTTATTTTGTGGGTTGATATGCCTAATATGACACCATCTAAAACATTCATTATCTCTATTTTTTATATTTATCAAACCTTTTTTAGGGTTTTTAAGTTCTTGTGGTAAACTAATGTATGAAGATCCTTGTAAAGGCTTGTATTTAGCAATATTTAAATAATGGTTATCTACAGAGCGGATAAACCATCCAGAACATTCTTTAGTGAATCTATCAATCTTGTTTAATATATTTTCTTCTGAAATTTGTAGTGATTCAGTAATATTTTCATTATTTGTAATTGTTAAAGCTGGATTGTTGAAATAAGCATTTTTTGTTATAAAGTTGGTTGTACCACCATCCTTTGTTTCTTTTTTACTAAATGTTACCTTTAGCGTTTCAACAAATTTTAATCCTTTCATTGTTGTTAATAATTCTTTAATATAATATGTAAGATACTTTCTTGTGCTTCGCATTTGTATTAATGGTACTTTATTGTTAATAATACTTATTTCATATTAATTAGTGTATCCTTTTATAGCATTGTTTGTTTCTCTTATTTTAACTCTTGGTGTTGGTATTGGTTTTTTATTTTTATCTGATAGCATCTGTGTATTGTTCTCACACTCTTTAACCATCTCTTTTACACTCTTTCTTGGTTTTGGACTGGTGTTAATACTTTGATTAATTTGTTTTTTCTAAGTTTATAATAACCTTTAACCTTTTTTTCTTTGGCAATAACTTTTAACTGTGGTACAGTCATTTGTTTGATATTGGATTGTGATAGTACTTTTTGTACTGGTTTGGAAATTGAAGTATTATTAACTTCAACCTTAGGCTTTTGATTTAATATTATATTAATTAAATCATTTCTAGTCATCTTTTGGAGCGCAAGTCTATTCATCTTATGCATATTATATAATATAGGTTTCTCTTTAAGTACCTTTCGATTTAAATAATCTCTATTCATATATATACTATATATTTTATTTTATTTTTTTTTAAACGCACTAATTTTAATTATAGAAATAAATCTATATTTAAAACTTTTTATAAAAATATTTAAATTAATTTATTTAACTTTTTAAATATTTTGTAAATATTCTTCTAATTAAGCTTGAGTTTTTGTTGTATTAGGTAACATACCGGGTCTTAGACCGACCTCCCATGGATTGAAACCCTTCTCGTGTACCCAGATCACTTTGTTTAATTTTTCTCTAATAATTGGGTCATTGAGAGAGCTTCTTTTGTTGTTGTATTATAATAATAGTGAAGTTCTTGTTTATGATCATTAGTTTTAAATATTAATAACCTTAAATGTTTATGATGTTCAACTAATTTTAATTGACGTTTATTTGCTTTTGTAATTAGTGTATGTATAAATGTTGGGAGATCTTTACATTTTTCATATCCTGTAGAATCAGGTTGATAATGTAATAATTTTGTTGGTAAAGAATCTATGTATATAAAAAAACTAAATTTAGAATATAAATCTTTATCAACCATTCGAAAATCCCAGCCAGCGCCGAAATACACTAGACTAAGAATTTCATTATTATTTTTTCATATTTTTATATCATATATATTATGTATATATGTTTCTTTAAGTATATTTAAACGCACCATAAAATTTTATAAAAACTATATTATATTTTGAATTTCTTAAATGTTTTCTAGTTCTAAGATGTAAAGTTTTATATGCTAAACTATATGTTTAAAAAATTTCTTATCCGTCCGAAAAGAGTAAAAAGACAAAAGCACTTATCTTACTTTCCAATATCTTATTAAAGTATGGTTTCAAAAGTAAGTTTAACCAGCCATTAGATATACGATACGAAGGGAATCACCAAATTGTGGGTTTTTGTCTTCTAAATCGCACTCATTTTTGCCATACTCGAAAACAACGTTTGAACAAGTTGTTCGTAATTCTTTAGATTACATCTCGTCACGAGTATTTTCTGAAAGTATTCTTTTTATTTTCATAGGTGTCCACTAATGTGCAAAACCAGGAGAATGAAAAAGAAATTCAAGCAGGTACAAACATATAGCAATAGAGAAATATTGAATGGAGAAAAACTTTCCAAAAATATTTGTGCAATGATGAGAGTGGGGTAGTAACATTTCAGTGTAGTATTTATATTTACTATGTAGTAATTATTCAATATGAGTGAGGACTATACCATTACACATAGTCCACTTTTCTTTTCCTAAATGGCAACTGTAGTGTTGACGTCTCAGCTGAGCACAAGGCAAATCCACTGGATCGCTTACTGAATGCCTCTCTAAATGGAATTAAGTTAGGTGATCAAATGCTAGAATTTGGACCAAACAAAGTGACCCTTTAAGATTTATGGACCCTCATTCCACCAAATGAGATGACTAAATATGCTGCCACACTAATTGAAAATAAAACTGTGGCACCTGGATGGCTTAGTGATACAGTAAGTCAAGTGATTAAACACTCTACAGCTTACATATGATTATCATGCATCAGAGACAAATGATGAAATGGTAAATGAGCCTGATTGTTATAGGTTATCAACGCTTTCTTATGGAAACTTTCATGTGAATATCCTGGTGTCCTACCAGCAGAATCATATGTATGTCAGTTGGTGCAACGAGGATCTAGTACATGTCGACTGTGGGCAGATCAAAATTTCATGGCAATTGACACAATAATATTTCCTTTCAATATGTCTGGGAGCCATTGGACACTTTTGGTAAATACAATAAGAATGCAACATAGCTAAGACAAGAAGACAAATTTTTAGTATTTTCAATATTGTCACTTTTAAAGGTAATCGACAAACAAAAAGAGATGGTATACTACCTTGATCCTATGGAAGGTCATGTAGAAGAAGTTATCAGTGAGACAACAAGAGTTGAACTTTTACAGTTTATCAAAAGCATTTGGTAAGTATACATACATTACTTCCTTGACAAATACCAGTATTTGAAATTCCAATTCAATGAATCACTTCAATGTCTTGAATACACACAGCAACATTGATATAGTGCAGTTGATAATATAATCCTTTTGTTTATAAAGTGCCCTTGTTGATCTAAAAAGTGGGTGGAACACATCAACTTGGTCTATTATTCAGCCTTCACACCATGTGCAAGAGGATGGGTTTAACTGTGGAATAATTATTTGCCTGGTAGTTGTTTTGACATTGTGTTCTAAGTAATAACAATTTAAAAAAAATCTCTTTTATTTTTATCATTTCAGTTTGCTGAATATCTGAGTCAAAATCTTGACATAAATGCAAAGTTTGACATGAGTAAAGTGAGGCAGCATGTGACTTCAACGATTATGGGTTCTTGCTATGTTTTTCATATAAGAAACATTCTCACGAAATGAATGCATGGATGGGACCACAGCCTTATGTAGGCCATAGGAGAGTGTGCCGCTCAGCGGAATTTTTTCAGAAGAAGATGCAACAACGGGTTTGGCAAACCAAGCCTTATGCGCATTGACAGAAGACGGGATATTGGCAGGAAGGGTTCGATGAAGTGACGCAAAATTCGCCATTTGCGTCAAATGATGAATGAAAGCATCCACCAATGGAATATTGTGAATAACGGGCGTTATAGTGGAAAAAGTCCTTTCGCCTGTATTTCTGGCGATCATCGCAGAAAGATGCCTGAGCATAAAATGATTCGACCTCTTTGGTGCGGGAAAGCGGTTGTGTTGTTGAACCGCGAACGGAGCTGTATTGTTCGTGAAGACGGTTTTTTTAACTGATCGCGTAAACGAACTAGATTGCTGACGTAATGGTTGGCCTGCGCGAGTTTTGTATGAGGAACATCTTTGATTGTGTTGTTCCTTGCGAGGAATCAGCGTTTTGTTAAGATGAAAAGGTGCTGTATTTGTCAAAGTTGATTCGGTTGAAGAGGAGCATGGGCTCTTGGTTTTGTATTTGCCATGCGCAAATATAAAGCAAGAACTTGACATAAACTGTGTTGTGCGACAATCCATAGGTTTTTATTTTACTATAAATTTGTTTTAATAGCAGGTCACTAGATCTTCGGCACTCATCAGTTAAATAAAATGTACCAATAGTGCTTAAATTATATATTTATACATTGGGATCATATTACAATATAGTGCAGTTGTCATAATTAGGAGTGATAGTGTGATAAATTATTCTCAATGAGGCAGTGTGTGGAGACAAGTTTGGAATGTTTGTTAAGGGAACCTGTGGGTGGCAAATGATGAGGAATTTTCATTAATCATTCACAATATAATATGATGAATTCACACTATATGTACAACCTTAATAAATTAGTTGAGAAAAAACGATGTGCAAGTTTTTTTGATAAAAGTGTTTTTTTAGAAGCATAATCAAATCGATATTACGTTAATTATTATATATCGCTCATTGCTAAATTAATATTTTTAAACGTGAACAAATTCATTTGATTTACGACAGTGTTTTTCGTTACAACCACTGATCCAGTTACAAATGTATGAGAGAAATTTTTTGCGCATGTTATTCTCTCCTCTTTTTTTGTGCAAACTTTACAGCGCAATAAATTCACCAAATGGCCATCATCCCAGTACTCAAACAAGTCAGCATTTGATTTTTCTATCCATTTTTTTACTGTATTAACTTTGCTGGTAGGTACAACCTTTCGACGAAAATGGCAAGAAACGGAAAAGTGAATAACCAAATATACTTTTGCTTTCTGATAATTAACAGTAACATCCTTGATGTTTACTTACGATAAAAAACATCATATTTATGTCATACTACATGCAATATGTAAAAGCAAAAAGTATGGCTGATCAAGGTTGCCAGTTTTACTTAATATTTTGAGCCAAATTTGGCTTCTTTTTCTCACATTAGGCTTATTTAAAATCAAAATTCCCTTGGTTTATTCTTCAAATTTATTATACTGAAAATACTCAAAATAGCTATGATGCCAAAAACAGTACATAACGGTTTACAAAACAACGAAAATGCAAAAATTGATATTAATAATGTATTACATCCCTATTGTCATAAGCATATAAGCATCACATATGTTGACTGTTTGCAGACTTACTAGTCTTAAAGTGACAACGTCTTTAAAGTGTCAACATGGATTTTAATATCTTGCAGCGCACTCGTGTATAAAGTAAAGATCAGTAAAGATTAAGATTGAAAATTTTTTCAATTTGTGTGGTAGTAATCAATAAAGAAGTTTTTTGCATATCGTTTGAGAAAGTGATGTGCAATTGTTTTCATTTAAGCTAAAACGATGTGCGAATTGCACATTGCACTCCGTTATTTCGCACACTGATAAATGATATATATATAAAACTACTTAAATACTAAAATGTCATTTTTTTACTCTGTGTTTCATCTCCATTGAACATTGAACAGTAAAACATAGAGAAGCAAAAAATGATGTTTTAAGATTTAATAAATGTTATTGTTAATATGCTCCACTCAGCTATTAGTTTAATATTGGTTTACTACATACTTATGCCCTGCAGATATAATATTGCCAATTATATACATGTACAGTACCGCTCGCGTATATCTTAATCGCTACCCGTATGATGATGCACTTTGATACGCGCATGATACAGATATAATGTTTATCCGATCCACGTAGCATATACACTGATTATATACGCATGCGCATTCAAGGTATTTATACGTGAAGCACTTACCAGAGTTCTCACTCCTAACTGTGAAACACTGGATCAATGAAGTCTGGAAAAAGGCTTTCACCTTATGCAAAGAAGCAAATTATTGTTCTGTGGAAGGATGGGGGAATTTTTTCCTGTGCGACATGCATATAATAAGCAATAGAGGCGATTTCAATTGCTTTAAATGATCCAATAAGCATTCCCTATCAAGTAAACGTCCTGCTTCTAATAGACACACTCATCCTACTTCAATTATACATCATTACTATAGTAAGTTGTTGATTTGGCTGAGAAACCCTATATTCAGTTAATGTTTTCTTTTTACTTGTTTAAACTAATGCAATAAAAATGATCTAAACACCCCTATCTATTAAACGTGTTCTATCTATTAAACGCTCCCCTGGAACAGCTAAAATTTACGCACATTATATTTGTATCATATGCGTATAATATGCAAAAAATTTTTAAGATATACGTGAGCGGTACTGTATATACGTGTATGTATTCGTTTCAAACGTAAGATTGTCTCATTTGATTTGTTCGCTTATTATCTTTTGTGAAATTTCAGGAAATCGTCAAAAATGGGTTCCCTTACCACTTGACCCTAAAGGAAATGAGGGAGAGAACTTGAATTCTGAGGATAATCAATACAGTCGACGTTCATCAAGCTGGCGTGGTGGTGAAAGAAGTCGAGGTAAGAGAGGTGCTGGTGGTATATATGGAGGTGAAAGAGGACGACGTGGAGGAGGAAGAGGTCGGAAACTGGTAAAAATGCTTGTTTAAACCACCTCCAAAAAGAAACGATTTTTTGAATATTGTGTTATTAAGATCTATGATATAAATTATAACTATAATTAAGATATGATATTATAAATGAAAAAAATGTGTGTAATGTCTTGCAACTTGCAGTTAGCAAAGCATTTATTTGGACCTTGGTTTATAAGTAGAAGCATTGTAAATGAATACTGTGTGTTTTGACAATTCGTCATGCTTATAATTTACGTTTAGGTTTTGATCGTCAGATGCAGTACGCTAACAACTCATATCAATTCTCTAATCTCACTCCTTGTGATACGACAATGTATATGGCTCAGACCTTCTCAGGAATTTGTTACTATGACAATAGTAATTATAGTAACATGCTTCACCAGTTATTGTTGAAAGATGACATTAGAAGACAAATGTGAGTAAATGAATAAACGTGGCGATGAGCTGTTTCCTGAATGAGATATTTTTTGTGCAAAATACTTAGCTAAATGATTGCATTGATGATTGTTGTGATGACAAGTGATGACATTAAACTTTACATTTTTTGTAGTGAATACTACTTCAGCACTGAAAATTTGACGAATGATGTGTATCTCAGGCAACAGGCATTTTTAAGTAGATGTCCTGCTGATATGTTTTTTGCACTAGATATTTATTTTAGACCTTCTCAAGACTATCGGCAGAGTTAGGCAAACTGAAGTGTAAATAAACATTAGCCGACTTTATTGTGTCGGCTATCCACATGCAATTTTATAAATTGCAATATTTCACTTTTTAAATGCTAATTTAATACCTGGTTCCCATAGTATTTTTAATCAAAATTTGCAAAATATCAGCCATAAAACATCAATGTCTTGAAAAACAAAATGTGATAAAACCAAAATGTCATAAAACAAAAATGTCTGAGTAGAAAACATCAATGTCTTGTCAAATTAATATAAGCTAAAAAGCATGCAAATGAAAAGCAGAATTAGTTCATTAGCTCTCTTTGTACATGTGTATGCTCCTTATGTTGTTGAAAAATACTTTTAAAATTTGAAATTAGCATTTTTTGAGTACATTTTCTTCAAAAATATGTACTAGTCCTGTGTACATACGTACATGTTAGTGACATGCAAACCTATACTTTGCAGAAAATATGAACTACGTAAATAGAAAATAGAGATATGTGTTGTATACATCTGTACCTATACATCCTTGTGTTGGTTGTTTTTTTTTAACTTCTGGTTTTTGCGCCAAAATTTTGGGAAATTTTACTGGTTTTTGGTGAACATGTGACGGTGGTAGCATTCATATATACGTAGAGGTTGCATGTTGAAGTAATGAATGGTTAGTGTTGATTCATTTAGCTTCTTCATCTTTTTTTCCTTCCTTGCAACAGATGGATGCAGAAGGTTATATTCCATTGAGCTTGATATCAAGTTTTTTCCGTGTACAAGCATTAAGTCAAGACAAAGATCTTATTCGACAGGTTTGTGTCATATGTGCTTCATTCAACACTTAAGACACAACAATAGACTTCTGTTCCAGCTAGTGAATAGTCTGAATGTTATTTGTACGTTGACCTTTCGTATTTGTATGGTGCCGTGTGCGAATGAATTTATATGTTATGTTAAAGTGGTAGTACATAGGCTTCTTATGATGAATATATTTAGATACACTCCTCTATGCACACAATTAATAACCAGAGAAACTGAATTGATTTGTGAAGTGAGATAGTTGTTATTTATAATATTATCTATTTCAAGAAATACAGCATTTATTGCATAGTTTTTTCTTCTATTTTTTAGTTTCTTGTGAATTGTAGTTTTTCATCGATTTTGTTATTCGAATTTTTCGAAATTGAAATCTCGTGAAAAACATCTTAAAGTGAAACACGATGTGACAGAAGTAATGTGCCGATGTGATGTGCTTCATTGTAAATGAAGCACATCAGGTCAACTATATTCAAACTTTCTCAACAGCAAAATTCAAAAGAGACACGAAAACACGAGATTAAGTATTCAATAGCAATCTATAATAAACGCATGAAAAAAATTTTCGTTGCCAATGTCCTTTAATATAAATGATTGGAGTCACAGAAACACCAACTTCAAGGAAACGTGGTGATGAAAGAAAAGAAATGCAAGAAGTATGTATTTTGAATGATTTTGGTTTTGAAATGCATAATTGCTTTTCTCTGTTAGGAACTTACGACGAAACATTGAAACATTACATTGGGGCGGTCACCTGTAAATCTGGTCGTGCTATGCAAATTTTTGTGTTTAATAATTGTAAAACATTTTCTTTAAAATGATTGATGATAGTGCTCTAAACTTTACATAGCAGGAGTTCTACTTGCGGGCTTGCTACGCTAATGAAACATTTAAGTCACTAAAGCCTGTTTTCCACTTGCCACGTATTGTAACGTATCGTAGCAAAACGTAACATGGCGCATGCGTACTTATGAATTTGATGGTCAATAGGCGCAAGCACGCATGCGCCATGTTACGTTTTGTTACGATACCTTACGATACGTAGCTAGTGAAAAACAGGCATAAGTCAGGTTTTTTTATTGCCGATTTGATTTTATGACTTACCCATGGATTAGAAATGCTGCCTAGAAACATTCGTCTTTGCGAACTTCTTTGCCTTAGCATTTCATTTAGAACTGTGAAATTTCCTTAGATAGAGATGCATGAATATAATCTGTACGTTTTTTGTAGGCGGATTGTTAAACTTTTCCGTGTTTGTTTTTTAATAAATTTAATGCAAAGTGATCTGAACCCTCTGGATCAACGATTTAAAAACGTTACTTTCACTTCATTGATTGCTTGCTTTGCAAAAAAATTAGCGAAATTCTGACGAAGAAATTAGTTTGCTGTTGATTTTAAGAAGCGCGATTTCTTTGTCGCACTCCAAAAGTACGTATGAGAGTTAGGGAACATTTAGAGTCC